TCGCATAAAAACTGTGGCTGGAAACGTGGTTAATGCCGAGGGTCGGTTTTAATAGACTAATAAATAGATGAAGAATGTGTAAAAGGGTCTTGTAAAAAACATTTGTGTGTAGAGAAGTGTGAAATGTTGAAGACCGAACACTGCAGTGGGAGGGGCTATAGACAGGTGTTAATATGGGGATGGAATAGACTGACATCATAAAAAGAAAGATTAGAATGTGAATGGAGAACATTTCTGTTACAAGTGGAAATTGAAAATTAACCCAATTTGGAGACATACTCCTTGTTGTTCAAGAGGTCAGCTTGACCCTGCACCCTAAATGCAGAATCCTATTCACTAATTTTCCATATAACGATTGCTTTTGGAAGTTTAGTTTATTTATTCCCCCAGTCAACCTTTGTAGTCAGCTGTAGGCAGTTCCACTATTTGCATAAAATACTAATTGAACCCCAGGCTTTAAACAAGGCATAAACCTTTGAGTGTAATCAGTGTTCCAGATACAGTATATGGAGCTGACAAGATTCCAGTGTTCCCTGTTGTTATTGCCCTGTTGCCCAGCATTAATGCTGCATTGATAAAATCTCGTAAATACCAGCATATGACTGGGAAACATCCACTTGAACACCCCTCCAACTGGTAATTACTAGTGGGAAACTTGTCTATCATCTCTGAGCTCTGAATTCTCCCACGTGCTGAACTCTGAGGTCATACTAAGGAAATTACCTTGATAACAGCATTTTCGGCAGTTAAATGCAACAACAAAACATTATTTATGAAAAACTATCTAGTAATGTTTTTTTTAACACTATAATTTGTTTGCAAGTGTAACCGGTGTGAAGTGACTAGCTAGTTAGCGGTGTGCGCTAATATTGTTTAAATCGGGCAGCTTTTGTAATAATAATAAGCAATACAGTATGTAGATGCTTTGTGGAACTCAGTTGTTGATGTGTTCAGTGGGTCCCTGTTTCGAGCCCAGGTTGCGGCAAGGAGAGAGACGGAAGCAATACTGTTACATTGATGCTGTTGACCCAGATCACTCAGTTGGGATCTGCCCAGCTGCTGTGGTTGCTGCAGAGAAGGTCAAAGGGGGGTGAATGTAACAAGTGGGAAATGGCTAGCTAGTTAGCGGTGCGCGCTAGTAGCGTTTCAATCGGTAACATCACTTGCTGTGAGACCTTGAAATAGTAGTTTCTCTTGCTCAGCGAGGGCTGTGGCTTTTGTGGAGCGATAGGTAACGATGCTTCGTGGAAGGCAGTTGTTGATGTGTTCAGAGGGTCCCTGGTTTGAACCCAGGTTGGGGAAAGAAGAGGGATGGAAGCAGTACTGTTACATTGAACAGTGATGTGGTAAACTCTGATCGCCGTTCATGGTGAATAAAGTAGCACTACCTAATACTTTCAATGCATTTTCCCGCAAAAGGTGGGTAAACCCTCGTGCAAAATAAAAAGAGAGGTAACAGTGTTTACTTGCATTTACCCTCTACTACACCACTGTTTGCGAGCATGATAGTTGTACTTTTAGGTTATGGTTGACGCAGCTTGTTTGCCATTAGCCAATTGGCATTCTCAACGAGTTCAAAACAAGTTCAAAGCATCTCACCTTCCAGAGAGACATCAGAGACTGTAACATACTCTGTTTCACGGAATCATGGCTCTCGGGATATACTGTCCCAGTCCATACAGCCAGCTGGGTTCTCAGTACATCGCGCAGACAGGAATAAATAACTATCCAGGAAGAAGAAAGGCGGTGGTGTATGTTTCATGATTAACTACTCATGGTGTGATTGTGATAACATACAGAAACTCAAGTCCTTTTGTTCACCCGACCTAGAATACCTCACAATCAAATGCAGACTGTATTACCTACCAAGAGAATTCTCATCGGTTATAGTCACTGCCGTGTATATTTGCCCTCAAGCCGATACCATGACGGCCCTCAAGGAACTACACTGGATTTTATGCAAACTGGAAACCACATATCCTAAGGCCGCATTTATTGTAGCTGGGGATTTTAACAAAGCAAATCTGAGGAAAACGCTACCGAAAATCTATCAAGTCATTGACTGTAGTGGTCGCTCTGGAAAAACACTAGACCACTGCTACTCCCCCTTTTGGGTTGCCTACAAGGCCCTCCCCCACCCTCCCTTCAGCAAATCAGATCATGACTCCATTTTGCTCCTCCCTTCCTATAGGCAGAAACTCAAACAGGAAGTACCCTTGCTAAGGACTATTCAACGCTGGTCTGACCAATCGGAATCAATGCATCAAGATTGTTTTGATAACGCGGACTGGAATATGTTCCGGCTAGCCTCTGAGAATAACATTGACGTATACACGGACACGGTAACTGAGTTCATCAGGAAGTGTATAGGCGATGTTGTTCCCACGGTGACTATTAAAACCTACCCAAAACCAGAAACCGTAGATAGATGGCAGCATTTGCGCAAAACTGAAAGCGCGAACCACCGCATTTAACCATTGCAAGGTGATTGGGAATATGGTTGAATACAAACAGTGTAGTTATTCCCTCCGTAAGGCAATCAAACAGGCAAAACGTCAGTACAGAGACAAGTGGTACAAGTGGAGTCGCAATTCAACGGCTCAGACATGATACGTATGTGGCAGGGTCTACAGACAATCACAGATTACAAAGGGAAAACCAGCCACGTCGCGGACACCGACGTCTTGCTCCCGGACAAGCTAAACACCTTCTTCGCCCGCTTTGAGGATAACACAGTGCCACCAACGCGGCCCGCTCCCAAGGACTGTGGGCTCTCGTTCTCCGTGGCCGACGTAAGACATTTAAGCGTGTTAACCCTCGCAAGGCTGCCGGCCCAGACGGCATCCCTAGCCACGTCAGCAGAGCATGCGCAGACCAGCTGGCTGAAGTGTTTACAGACATATTCAATCTCTCCCTATCCCAGTCTGCTGTCCCCACTTGCTTCAAGATGTCCAACATTGTTCCTGTACCCAAGAAAGCAAAGGTAACTGAACTAAATGACTTCTGTCATCATGATGTGCTTTGAGAGGCTAGTTAAGGATCATATCACCTCTACCTTACCTGACACCCTAGACCCACTTCAATTTGCTTACCACCCTAATAGATCCACAGACGATGCAATCGCCATCGCACTGCCCTATCCCATCTGGACAAGAGGAATACCTACGTAAGAATGCTGTTCATTGACTATAGCTCAGCCTTCAACACCATAGTACCCTCCAAGCTCATCATTAAGCTCGGGGCCCTGGGTCTGAACCCCACCCTGTGCAACTGGGTCCTGGACTTCCTGACGGGCCGCTCCTAAGTGGTGAAGGTAGGAAACAACACCTCCACTACTCTGATCCTCAACACAGGGGCCCCACAAGGGTGCGTGCTCAGCCCCCTCTGGTACTCCATGTTCACCCATGACTGCGTGGCCAGGCATACCTCCAACTCAATCATCAAGTTTGCAGACGACACAGCAGTAGTAGGCCTGATTACCAACAACGACGAGAGCATACAAGGAGGTGGTGAGGGCCCTGGTGGAGTGTTGCCAGGAAAATAACCTCTCCCACAACGTCAACAAAACGAAGGAGCTGATCATGGACTTCAGGAAACAGCAGAGGGAGCACGCCCCTATCCACATCGACGGGACCGCAGTGGAGAAGGTGGAAAGCTTCCAAGTTCCTTGGCGTACACATCACTGACAATCTGAAATGGTCCACCCACACACAGTGTGGTGAAGGCGGCGCAACAGCGCCTCTTCAACCTCAGGAGGCTGAAGAAATTCGGCTTGACCCGTAAGAGCCTCACAAACTTTTACAGATGCACAATTGAGAGCATCCTGTCGGGCTGTATCACCGCCTGGTACGGCAACTGCACCGCCCGCAACCGCAGGGCTCTCCAGAGGGTGGTGCGGTCTGCCCAACGCATCACCGGGGGCACACTGCCTGCCCTCCAGGACACCTACAGCACCCAATGTCACAGGAAGGCCAAAAAGATAATCAAGGACATCAACCACCCGAGCCACGGCCTGTTCACCTCGCTATCATCCAGTATGCGAGGTCAGTACAGGTGCATCAAAGCTGGGACAGAGAGACTGAAAAACAGCTTCTATCTCAAGGCCATCAGACTGTTAAATAGCCATCACTAGCAGACTATCACCCGGTTACTCAACCCTGCACCTTAGAGGCTGCTGCCCTATATACAGAGACATGGAATCACTGGCCACTGTAATAATGGAACACTAGTCACTTTAATAATGTTTACATACTGCTTTACTCATCTCATATGTATATACTGTATTCTATTCTACTGTTTTTTAGTCAATGCCACTCCGACATTGCTTGTCCTAATATTTATACATTTCTTAATTCCATTCTTTTACTTTTAGATTTGTGTATTGTTGTGAATTGTTATACTCCTGCACTGTTGGAGCTAGGACCACAAGCATTTCACTACACCCATAATAACATCTGCTAAATATGTGTATGTGACCAATAAAATTTGATTTGATGCGAGCGCACATTTTACAGGTAGTTTTTTTTTTTTTTTTTAAGAGTTCCCCACTTGTTTTGAACGCAGCGTTACCTACCTGATTCAACTCACTAACGAATCACCAAGCCATTGATTAATTGAGTCAGGTGTTTCTGACTAGATCCCAAAAAATTGCTTACCCTGGGTACTAATGAAGGTAGGCTAAACCAAGAATATTCCTATCTATGAAACAGATGACATGGATTTATTTGACCGGACAGACCAACTAGAGCTGGGTCGATAAACCGAAAATGATCGACACCGACCGTACCGATCACTTATCGCAAGCATTTTGCTGATATCGTTCATTACAATAAGTAACCTATACTAGAGAAATGTGAAGATTGAAATTAAATAAGTTTGCTAATATGGGTGATTGTTAATGGCACAATTGATGGCTACAACCATTAAACTAGTAGTAGTAGTAATTTTAAAAAACGGTGGTGCACATTGTTATAAACATATCGTTCTATTTATCATTATCACATCAATTCAGGCAATTGATCACGATATGGTTCTGTCCATATCCCCCAGCTCTAAGACCAACTACATCACTGATGACATGAGCTCTAGAATGTTGACATATAACACTTCATTTTGAACATGCAATAATGCCTGGATTCTCAATTGCACAATTCAGATATCGTAACCATATGCCATTTATGCCTAAACAGACAACATTGTTAACATTCAGATAAGACAGGTATTTACAGAAGAACTTGATTATTATGCATTCTTTTATTTTCACAATCAAAAAGTGTTTATAGTATTAGGGCATGAATTTACCACTTGTTATTTGTACCTTCTCTCTTCCATTGAGAAAGCTGAACCTATAACTCCATAGACTACAGCTGTGGCACAGTCATCAGTCTTCTACTTTGCGAGCCGGTCTGCAGAATGTCCAGTGGTGCTCCACTGTATTCTCATTGGCTCGCTCGCTCATGTGATGCACTCGAGTGTTCCGGATGGTGAAGCCTTGCTTCATGATGTAGTCCATTAGGTGAACCCTGAGGGTCACTTCCTGGTGGTAGTCACACGGTCCAAAAGTAAAGGACACCTGGAAGTCTCTGGTGTCCATCATGTGTTTGTTCCACTTGGTGAAATTTTTGCAGATGCCCTCCAGCAGGGCTTGCACCTTGGTTGTTATGGTGAGCTGCGTGATAATGACAGCCACTGGGTTTGAATACTTGGATAGTTTCCGTGTGCTAGACAGCTCCACCACCTGCTCAAAGATGTCCAGAGGGTAGAGTGGCTTGGGTTCGTTGAGGCAATGGATCAATGGTTCGATCAAGTAGAAATCCGCCTCCTTCCTCAGGAGGTCAGTCTCAGTGAAGTCCACAGGGAGCGTGAGCTCGGATGTACGCAGGAAGTTCAGCACGTACCGGAAGAGCGTCCCGTCGCGGTCGATGAAGTAGTTTCCCTGGGCGTCCCGTGTTGTGGGAAAATCCCCGCGGAACATGGCGCCCAGCATGGAGTCTGGGTAGCGCTGCAGGGTTGATAGGGAGGTGGTGTACAGGTGGCCCCCCACATTCAAGGTGACTGGGTCAGTCATCTACAGAGTGAGAAATTGACAAATAATACATTAGCATTGTGGTAGAAGACAAGGACATGAATATAGCTATATGAATACATCCAGAAAGAATAGCATCAACAGCAATATATATGTTGAACAAAAAACATCTGGCAATGCATAAAACATATTTAATTCGATCCACTGTGATACTGGTCAACATACTCATCTCAGCAGCCATCAACATTACTCTTAATCTGCACTGAATTTTAAGGTAGCCTTGACTTTAGGTTGTCCTGTGTTACATACCCTATGGCCCCAGTCTCCATTTGTAAACAGAATAGCCCACTTCAAGACCCAGAAAAGCTGCTGATATGAGCAGAAACTTAGTGCAGTATGTCTTGTCTTCAATATCACCTGGGAAAACAAGTCACAAAGCAAGATGAAATGTCATCATATTGACACTGGTGTGTGTTCAGCAAAGTCAGGTGAGTTGGCTTGGTCAAAGACTGCAAAACAAGCTCCAAACTGCACCTGCCAACTCACGATTTGCTGAAGACCAAACAGTCTGTGACGAGTTTATTCATAGAATCAAAGATCATGCTTCACTCAACAAGAGAATCGGCCTACATATTGATCAGCTTGAGGTGGGACAAAGCCTGAGCAGAGTTATTGTTAGATACCCATCACAGATGCTTTTGAACCTAAACACAAACTTCAAATTAGCAGGGAATTTACAACGTTGTAATTTTCAGGCAGATCAAGGTGTGGACAGACTGAGGTCAATTTTGTGATTTCCCAAAATGAAGCGAAGACTGACCGACATTGAGCATGAAAAACTAAAATATGTTTTGCAAAGCTAAATAACTAGCTACAGTACTGTTGATGTGACCTGTTAGTACAGAGAGAAATGGGAACACTGTTAAAATAATCTCATTAATGTGTGCCATATTAATAGTAAAATACATTGCACTATTAACGAACGTAACGCCATCGATGCAGCGAAAAAAAAACGTCCAGCGCGAGCTTGGAAGCGCATCCCCACACCATCATCATCATCATCATCATCATCAAATTGCTAGCTGCTAGTTAGCTATATTGGCAGCGTTGACATCAAGTGCAACGATTTGTAGAGTTAGCTAGCTAGCTAACGATCTATGGCATTGTATTAAACACTTGTTAAACATTTGAAAGGACTAACATGCATTGCAAAGGCTTATTTTGATATGCTCGTCTATTGTATTTTTGGGTTAGACAACCAACTTGCCATTAGCTAGTTAGCACAAATTACAGCTGTTGTATTTAGCTATCTAAAGTTGTCGATAGCACAAAAAAACATTACCTGTATGTAAAAGGTTACCCTTATTATTTCATCGATTCTCCCTGTTCGTTTAAATGAGTACAGCTAGCTAAACTGATATTTTGCTCGAATCAATGTTGGCAGCTGGCTGCAAGGTGATGAATGGTGTCCGGATGCCCCAGGCTGCAGGGTCGTCATTAGTTACCACAGCCACAAACTCATAAACCCCGCCCATTTCTACAATTTATTTTCTTAAAATCTGATTTAAAATCTAAACCTAACCGTAACCCTAATCTTAACCACAATACTAACCTTATTCCTAACCCTCACCTTAAATGAACACCAAAAAGCACATGTTTGGTTTCATGATTTCTTCGATATAGCCACTTTGTGGCTGTGGTAACTAGTGAAAACCAGGCTGCAGAAAACTAGACAGCTAAACAAATGGACAACCAAATTCTTCTGCAGGGTTTACGCTAATTCACGAAAATTACAGAGCTCTCACTTTTTTCAACATGAATGCGCGCGTTTGATCAAATAAATAGCAAACACACACACAAATACATCTACAGTGACTAGATTAAAACATATTTTGAGTAATGATATAAAATAGATTATTCTTTAAGTATTCTTTATTTTATGCACATAGGCTAGCTACAAACATTCCATCAGCATAGTTTGATGAAAATAAATGAAATTAGACACATGCAGTGCTTACTAATTTAGTCAGATATGATCAAGTATTGCATAAAGAGGAAAACAACATATTTGACCAAGAGATTACATGCTTGACTAAATATTAAAACTTCCATAAAGCCTTTATTTCTCAGGAGCGCTTTTTGATGGTTCCGCTGGTGGTACTCAGGGAGATAATAAACTCCATGATGAGTTTGGCTGTCCGGCGAGGCCTCTCCATCACCACAGAGTGGCCACAGTTCTCTAACAGGTCCACCCTGCAACCGGGCAAGGCCTCCTCCACTACCACAGCTCCAGAGACATCCACCACCTGGAGGAGAGAGAAGCTTTAAGGTTACTCTTATTTATAGCATCCTTTCTTTTTATGATACCTGTAATTATGATAATATATGCCATTTAACATATGCTTTTATCCAAAGCTTGCGTACAATTTTTACATATGGGTGGTCCTGGAAATTGAACCCACTATCCTGGCGTTGCTCTTCCAACTGAGCTACAGAGGACCATGGGAAGGCAGGTACCTGGCAACATCATAGATGCAAAATCCCTCTCCTAATATTGTTTAATTTGGACGTGTAAGCCTCCTGGCTTTTGGTGTATTTACCTGGTCCTGTTTGCCCCAAATGACTTGCAAAGGGGCAGTGATCAGATGCAAATTTTCCTGTAGGGCGTATCTGGAGTTCTCACCCAATATCTCCATGAATACTGTGGAGGGATTCGAGATTTAGCAAACCTTTGTCAAAATGAACAACCCAACATCAGTGACTATGACCTACATCTTATAATATTTAATACATTCTTTGTCATAGATATGAGAAATATTCATACAGAGAAAAATTCCTCAAAACATTTGGCTATGAGACAAAGGAACAGAACAGAGACTGACCTTCTTGATAAAAATCATTGTGTGGAAGCCGAACATCCACCAGTCCTTGAAGAATCTAACATATGAAAGCAGAAGATAACAACAGTCTGATATAATTCTCTATCTGTAGACATATGAAACAGGAACATTAGGTAGGCCCTAATGCTTAACGATAAGTGCTTTTTGAGTTCGGTTCGGTTTTGGTTCGATCATTTGTTTATGACTTTTAAATGATTTCAGAGCTTTTTAATGCAAATTCCAAAGCCCAAAATAGTGAACATTCAATTGCCAAAATATTGAAAATATTCCATTGTCTCTGTCAGGTCCACATTGGGTAAACATCAATTGAAAATTAGGAAATTACTATGAAATAATACAATATTTCAGTTGTGTATATTACTTAGTTTTTATTTGATGACTTTATTGTTTTTCATTCCTTAAAGTCATCATTTCATTTCTGCTCAGGCGGTAGCAGCCAGACAGACAGACCATTTAACGTTATCTATGTGCTCCCCATACTGTACTGTCTTTAGTCATCCTATTTAGCTAGGCTAGCCTGCCTAAGTATGCTGCAAAGCTGTCTGACTAAATAATTTCACTAGTTGTTCAAAGTAGATAAGGCATACTTTCACGAACTGTCTATCCCTCTCTTCTTTGTGTTGTGTACATTCCTCTCTCATGTGGTCTATGCGGTCTGTGTGTATCTAATGACCCAGGCGTAAAAGTGTATCCGCCTGTCCGAGCCTTGAAAGAACAGGCGCAACGGATTATGATCATTGTAGTTAATGACAACGTTGAATATTTGCGCAATGGATTATGATCATTGTAGTTAATTACATCATTGAATATTTGCTTAATGAAAACTACAACTCCCTTCAGCCCAGTGTCCCACATAGTTCTTGACTTGATTTTGCTCGTGAATGATTTGATTTCTCTCTAGAGAAACAGCGTGTTAAGATCACCAAAAAACAAACTAAATGAAATTAAAATAATTGAACAGACGTGTGTTTCAAAACATTCAAAAAAATAAATAACGAAAAAGGGGTGCGTGCATATGTATTCACCCCCTTTGCTATGAAGCCCCTAAATAAGACCTGGTGCAACCAATTACCTTCAGAAGTCACATAATTAGTTAAATAAAGTCCACCTATGTGCAATCTAAGTGTCACATGATCTGTCACATGATCTCAGTATATATACACCTGTTCTGAAAGGCCCCAGAGTCTGCAACACCACTAAGCAAGGGGCACCACCAAGCAAGCGGCACCATGAAGACCAAGGAGCTCTCCAAACATGTCAGGGACAAAGTTGTGGAGAAGTACAGATCAAGGTTGGGTTATCCGAACCTTTGAACATCCCACGAAGCACCATGAAATCCATTATTAAAAAATGGAAAGAATATGGCACCATAACAAACCTGCCAAGGAGGGCATTAATCAGAGAGGCAACAAAGAGACCAAAGATAACCCTGAAGGAGCTGCAATGCTCCACAGCGGAGATTGGAGTATCTGTCCATAGAAGCACTTTAAGCCGTACACTCCACAGAGCTGGGCTTTACGGAAGAGTGGCCAGAAAAAAGCCATAAGCAAACACGTTTGGTGTTCGCCAAACGGCATGTGGGACACTCCCCAAAACTATGGAAGAAGGTACTCTGGTCAGATGAGACTAAAATTGAGCTTTTTGGCCTTCAAGGAAAACACTATGTCTGGCGCAAACCCAACACCTCATCACCCCGAGAACACTATTCCCACAGTGAAGCATGGTGGTGGCAGCATCATGCTGTGGGGATGTTTTTCATCGGCAGGGACTGGGAAACTGGTCAGAATTGAAGGAATGATGGATGGCGCTAAATACAGGGAAATTCTTGAGGGAAACCTGTTTCAGTCTTCCAGAGATTTCAGACTGGGACGGAGGTTCACCTTACAGCAGGACAAAGATTGCTGTACACCAGCGGAACCCATCCAACTTGAAGGAGCTGGAGCAGTTTTGCCTTGAAGAATGGGCAAAAATCCCAGTGGCTAGATGTGCCAAGCTTATAGAGACATACCCCAAGAGACTTGCAGTTGTAATTGCTGCAAAAGGTGGCTCTACAAAGTATTGACTTTGGGGTGGGGGGGGTGAATAGTTATGCATGCTCAAGTTTTCTGTTTTTCTGTCTTATTTCTTGTTTGTTTCACAAGAAAAAATATTTTGCGTCTTCAAAATAGTAGGCATGTTGTGTAAGTCAATGATACAAACCCCAAAATAAATCCATTTTAATTCCAGGTTGTAAGGCAACAAAATAGGAAAAATGCCAATGGAGGTTAATACTTTCGCAAGCCACTGTAGCTTGTTTCTGATCACATGTTCAGGAATGGTTAAAAAACCACAACATTCACTTAAAATTAACCTTACAAATAGCAGTGTTTGGCGATTTGGAAAGCCACAGTCAGTCAATAAATAATATAATAATACTCATAGGAAAGGTTTTCATCTTTAGCTCACAATCTGTGGATACTATGCGATTAGAAAGGTTCCAAATTAAAACATCACAGCACAATTGAAAAATATATGGCACATGGAAACCAAACAAGTGTGGTCTATGGTGATAGGTGGGATGGGCTGAGAGTGGCTGAGGGGTGGGATTAAAGAGCTTATGTTCGGTAATGTATTATTGTTATGTGATTGCTGTGTATAAAAGCACCATGTATGTCAAATGTGTACGTAAAATGTATGTACAGTGCCTTCGGAAAGTATTCAGACCCCTTGACCTTTTCCACATTTTGTTAGGTTACAGCCTTATTCTAATTATTATAATTTTTTCTCCCCCTCATCAATCTACGCACAATAACCCATAATGACAAAGCAAAAACAGGTATTTAGAAATTTTTGCTAGTTTATTTAAAATAGAAAACTGAAATATTACATTTACATAAGTATTCAGACCCTTTACTCAGTACTTTGTTGAAGCACCTTTGGCAGCGATTACAGCCTCAAGTCTTCTTGGGTATGACGCTACAAGCTTAGCACACCTGTATTTGTGGAGTTTCTCCCATTCTTCTCTGCAGATCCTCTCACGCTCTGTCAAGTTGGATGGGGAGTGTCGCTGCACAGCTATTTTCAGGTCTCTCCAGAGATGTTCGATCGGGTTTAAGTCTGGGCTCTGGCTGGGCCATTCAAGGACATTCAGAGACTTGTCCCGAAGCCACTCCTGTGTTGTCTTGGCTGTGTGCTTAGGGTCGCTGTCCTGTTGGAAGGTGAACCTTTGCCCCAGTATGAAAAATAAATAAAAATAAAAATGTATGCACTCACTAACTGTAACATGACGCTTGGCATTCAGGCCAAAGAGTTCAATCTTGGTTTCATCAGACCAGATAATCTTGTTTCTCATGGTCTGAGAGTCCATTAGGTGCCTTTTGGCAAACTCCAAGCGGACTGTCATGTGCCTTTTACTGAGGAGTGGCTTCTGTCTGGTCACTCTACCATAAAGGCCTGATTGGTGGAGTGCTGCAGAGATGGTTGTCCTTCTGGAAGGTTCTCCCATCTCCACAGAGGAACTCTAGAGCTCTGTCAGAGAGACTATCAGGTTCTTGGTCACCTCCCTGACCAAGACCATTCTCCCCCGATTGCTCAGTTTGGCCGGGCGGCCAGCTCTAGGAAGAATCTTGGTGGTTTCAAACTTCTTTCATTTAAGAATGATGGAGGCCACTGTGGTCTTGGGGACCTTCAATGCTGCATAAATGTATTGGTACCCTTACCCAGATCTGTGCCTCGACACAATCCTGTCTCGGAGCTCTACGGACAATTCCTTCGACCTCATGGCTTGGTTTTTGCTCTGACATGCACTGTCAACTGTGGGACATTTACATTTACATTTATGTCATTTAGCAGACGCTCTTATCCAGAGCGACTTACAAATTGGTGCATTCACCTTATAGCCAGTGGGATAACAACTTTACAATATGTTATTATTATTTGTTTTTTTCATTCTTTGGGGTGGGGTAAGTGGGGGTAGAAGGATTACTTTATCCTATCCCAGGTATTCCTTAAAGAGGTGGGGTTTCAAGTGTCTCCGGAAGGTGGTGAGTGACTCCGCTGTCCTAGCGTCGTGAGGGAGCTTGTTCCACCATTGGGGTGCCAGAGCAGCGAACAGTTTTGACTGGGCTGAGCGGGAACTGTGCTTCCGCAGAGGTAGGGGGGCCAGCAGGCCAGAGGTGGATGAACGCATTGCCCTCGTTTGGGTGTAGGGACTGATCAGAGCCTGAAGGTACGGAGGTGCCGTTCCCCTCACAGCTCCGTAGGCAAGCACCATGGTCTTGTAGCAGATGCGAGCTTCAACTGGAAGCCAGTGGGGGAGATGGGACCTTATATAGACAGGTGTGTGCCTTTCCAAATCAAGTCCAATCAATTGAATTTACCACAGGTGGATTCCAATCAAGTTGTAGAAACATCTCAAGGATGATCAATGGAAACAGGATGCACCTGAGCTCAATTTCGAGTCTCATAGCAAAGGGTCTGAATACTTATATAAATAAGGTATTTCTGTTTTTTATTTGTAATACATTTGAAAAAAATTCTAAACCCTTGTTTTCACTCTGTCATTATTTGGTATTGTGTGTAGATTGCTGAGGATTTTTTATGTATTTAATCCATTTTGGAATAAGACTGTAACGTAACAAAATGTGGAAAAAGTCAAGGGGTCTGAATACTTTCAGAAGGCCCTGTATGTGTAGCAGAAAAGCTGTAAAAAGCACAAAAGATATGTGTCCTTTGAAGGTGGATGGGTTAAAATAATTACAAATAAAGTAGGCCTAGACCTATGGATCAGTCTGATTACTCCACCTGTTGAGGGATCTTAAACCGGACATGGGAGCAAAGCCTGAGCATATCCTCCATCTCCTCTGGTGTGGACGGGATCAGTGGGATGCTCAGAGTGTAATGGCTGTGCTCAAGGTCCTGCAGATGATTGTCAAATTTTGTCTCACAGGGGTACCGTATACCTAGGGGGTGAAGACATAATTATACATTTTTTCTGATCAGAGTCTGATCTTTACCCTGAATCTCTCTCTCTCTCTCTCTCTCTCTCTCTCTCTCTCTCTCTCACACACACACACACCCACCCCCACACACACACCCACACACACACACACACACACATAGCAATATTGTGATAACGTATGACTGACCTGCTGGACAGATAAGGGTGATGCTACAGATTTCGGAGGGGAAGCTGGCTGCGTACACCCCTGCCACATTGCCCCCCATGGAGGTCCCAACCAGATGGAAGGGCTTCCTGTTCAGCCGAACGGTCTCCACAAACTGCATAAGGAGTACAACATAAAAACACGTGGTTACTTATTGTAACATAACTTAAAACAACTCGTCACCATTCATGGTCACCAATGCACTCTTTGATGATCTTTCATGCTGTGTATCTGGTGAGCGTATGTTGTTCCGATGTGGTGACAGGACCAAGACCCACCTGATGAATCCTCTTGACCTGGCCCTGGATGGAGTAGTCCTCTGAGTTGGTACGAGTGGTTCCCTCATGGCCAGGCATATCCACACACAGTATGTGCAGGTGTTTGGGTAGATACTGCATGCCATAGATACATGTCACAAACCTTGATATTTACTATACGCGCTAATACCTCCTATTACAATAGTAAAGATGAACCTACATTTGTCCACAACTGCTTTACCAGCCCACATCATGCTAGGTCATTTATGGATTCTGTTACCTTGACCATAGTGAGCCATGTGTCTTTGTGAGCAGAGAAGCCATGTAGCATGAGGATGGATGGTCTGAACCCTGGCTTCCCTCTGTAAGAGTAACAGAAGCGGTACCCCCCACAGTCTGCATAGCGCACCTGTAGACCCAGGGTCCTCCTCCAGTACCTATTGAGGAATCGATAGAATACCGTTTATAATCTCTCTCTCTCTGAGTCTCTCTCTGCAACATGTAGAGTAGAGAGAGATGAATGTTCTGCTCTTTTACTGTTTCTATTTTGGATTTCCCTTTTAGCAAGAGTGTCTTTAGGGCTTTGTTATGGGTCATACTGACATAGTTGCACCTGAGCAGGAAAAACAGACATGAATCTAACTGTGGTGTAGCGCAGGATGTGGTTATAGTGGGACTGAAGGCTGGAATCAAGCTTTTCTGCTATTATGGTGCAGTCAGTGGTGGGTGGGATCTCTTTCATGCAGATGTCTAAAAGAGCTGAAAAGGGTACTAAAAAATAATCTCTCCCTTTAGCAACCTTCCTTTCTAATCCATAAAACTGTCTATAAGAATTCTACTGACAGCACACAAGAGGAGTGAAATATAGCACTATACCTTACCAGTAATATATTTTGATGAGGGCTGAGGGCCAGAGGATAAACGAGGCCACAAAAGCCAGAATAGGAATGGCCAACGTTGCACCAGCAATGACCAACAAGTTCACCATGTCCATATCCGCGGCCATGGCTCACCTGTTCGAAATCAACACACACACTGTCACACATATTAAGCCTACTGTATAGTTATCGGTTGGTACCGATAGCATACTGTATTTCTGATTTGACCTTCCCTGGGGGGGGTAAAATGTTGGGGGAGGGACATGGGACAATATGTAGTAGGCCTAATCAATATAATCCTACTAATATGGCTATAAATTGTGTAATAAATGAAGTAACAAACTTACTTGATCTGGTGATGTGTTTTTTATTCCCTTTGAATAACTGTCATGGGTCGGACCAATATGGGAATCTAGCAGAAGAGCTCAATCAGCTTTATCGATCTGTCTGTCTAACGACCCAGTTGATCCAGATGTGATATCCGTGGAAATGTTTTCTTTGCTTGGTTATCTTCTCCTGAATGTTGATGATAAGTTCAACTGGAATTGAGTATGTTGACGGCAGACAGTCCTAGCAGTCACTGGTTTATACAGAACTCCTATTGATCTGCCGCTAAATAATTGTGTCAATTTTTTAAAGGGGACGCACACGTTTCCCTCTGTGATGTATTACAGTTCAATCATGTCATGTTCATGACCTTCATTGCGTCGCAATAAACATAGGACACCCATTACAGTGGGGAAGAAAATTATTTAGTCAGCCACCAATTGTGCAAGTTCTCCCACTTAAAAAGATGAGAGAGGCCTGTAATTTTCATCATAGGTACACGTCAACTATGACAGACAAAATGAGAAGAAAAAAATCCAGAAAATCACATTGTACGATTTTTAATGAATTTATTTGCAAATTATGGTGGAAAATAAGTATTTGGTCAATAACAAAAGTTTCTCAATACTTTGTTATATACCCTTTGTTGGCAATGACACAGGTCAAACGTTTTCTGTAAGTCTTCACAAGGTTTTCACACACTGTTGCTGGTATTTTGGCCCATTCCTCCATGCAGATCTCCTCTAGAGCAGTGATGTTTTGGGGCTGTCGCTGGGCAACACGGACTTTCAACTCCCTCCAAAGATTTTCTATGGGGTTGAGATCTGGAGACTGGCTAGGCCACTCCAGGACCATGAAATGCTTCTTACGAAGCCACTCCTTCGTTGCCCGGGCGGTGTGTTTGGGATCATTGTCATGCTGAAAGACCCAGCCACGTTTCATCTTCAATGCCCTTGCTGATGGAAGGAGGTTTTCACTCAAAATCTCACGATACATGGCCCCATTCATTCTTTCCTTTACACGGATCAGTCGTCCTGGTCCCTTTGCAGAAAAACAGCCCCAAAGCATGATGTTTCCACCCCCATGCTTCACAGTAGGTATGGTGTTCTTTGCATGCAACTCAGCATTCTTTGTCCTCCAAACACGACGAGTTGAGTTTTTACCAAAAAGTTATATTTTGGTTTCATCTGAGCATATGACATTCTACCAATCCTATTCTGGATCATCCAAATGCACTCTAGCAAACTTCAGACGGGCCTGGACATGTACTGGCTTAAGCAGGGGGACACGTCTGGCACTGCAGGATTTGTGTCCCTGGCGGCGTAGTGTGTTACTGATGGTAGGCTTTGTTACTTTGGTCCCAGCTCTCTGCAGGTCATTCATTAGGTCCCCCCGTGTGGTTCTGGGATTTTTGCTCACCGTTCTTGTGATCATTTTGACCGCACGGGGTGAGATCTTGCGTGGAGCCCCAGATCAAGAGAGATTATCAGTGGTCTTGTATGTCTTCCATTTCCTAATAATTGCTCCCACAGTTGATTTCTTCAAACCAAGCTGCTTACCTATTGCAGATTCAGTCTTCCCAGCCTGGTGCAGGTCTACAATTTTGTTTCTGGTGTCCTTTGACAGCTCTTTGGTCTTGGCCATAGTGGAGTTTGGAGTGTGACTGTTTGAGGTTGTGGACAGGTATCTTTTATACTGATAACAAGTTCAAACAGGTGCCATTAATACAGGTAACGAGTGGAGGACAGAGGAGCCTCTTAAAGAAGAAGTTACAGGTCTGTGAGAGCCAGAAATCTTGCTTGTTTGTAGGTGACCAAATACTTATTTTCCACCATAATTTGCAAATAAATTCATTAAAAATCGTACAATGTGATTTTCTGGATTTTTTTCTTCTCATTTTGTCTGTCATAGTTGACGTGTACCTATGATGAAAATTACAGGCCTCTCTCATCTTTTTAAGTGGGAGAACTTGCACAATTGGTGGCTGACTAAATACTTTTTTCCCCCACTGTAGGTAAATCATTTGCTTTGTTGTAGTTGCATGTTTCACTTTTCCTTTTTCTTTTTTACAATATGACTGTCACGATCGCCAATGAAGTATGACCAAAGCGCAGCGTTGGGAGTGAACATGATGATTTTAATTTTGAAACACACGACAAAACAACACACGATCCGTGACGTCCTCAGTTACACCGACTGAATAAAGAACAAAAACCCACAACCACAAGGTGAACACAGACATTTAAATATGGCTCCCAATCAGAGATAACGAGCCGACAGCTGACACTCGTTACCTCCGATTGGGAGTCACTGACCAAACATAGAACGCGAACACCTAGACACTACCCACAGTACACAACACACGGAAATCTACACACCCTGACTAAACACAAAAAGTCCTAGAACCAGAGTGTGACAGTACCCCTCCCCAAAGGCGCGGACTGCGACCGCGCCTAACTACAAGCAAACAGGGGAGGGCTGGGTGGGCATTCCTCCTCGGCGGCGGCTCCGGCTCCGGGCTTCCTCCCCACTTCCTCTCCAACCCCCCAAAGTACCCCTGGTCCTGCCTAGCCCCGCTGGCCGGAACCGGACTGACGACACGCGCCCCTGGCTTGGTGCGTGGATCCTGGCTGGACGGCTCTGGCGGATCCCGGCTGGACGGCTCTGGCGGATCCCGGCTGGACGGCTCTGGCGGATCCCGGCTGGACGGCTCTGGCGGATCCTGGCTGGACGGCTCTGGCGGATCCCGGCTGGAAGGCTCTGGCGGATCCCGGCTGGAAGGCTCTGGCGGATCCCGGCTGGACGGCTCTGGCGGATCCTGGCTGGACGGCTCTGGCGGATCCTGGCTGGACGGCTCTGGCGGATCCTGGCTGGACGGCTCTGGCGGATCCTGGCTGGACGGCTCATGGCTGGCTGACGGATCTGGCTGCTCATGGCTGGCTGACGGATCTGGCTGCTCATGGATGGCTGACGGATCTGGCTGCTCATGGCTGGCGGAAGGATCTGGCTGCTCATGGCTGGCGGAAGGATCTGGCTGCTCATGGCTGGCGGAAGGCTCTGGCTGATCCTGTCTGGCGGAAGGCTCTGGCTGATCCTGTCTGGCGGACGGCTCTGGCTGGACAGGGCTGACGACGCACCCCGTAGGCTCGGTGCGTTGAGCAGGGACAGGCCGGGCTGGGCTGGCGAAACGCACCACAGACTTGGTGCGGGGCGCAGGAACAGGCCGAGCTGGGCTGGCGACGCACCCCGTAGGCTTGGTGCGTTGAGCAGGGACAGACAGAACCGCACTGGGGACACACACCCCTGGCCCTACACGGGGATCAGGAACGGGCCGGACCGGACTGGAAACACCCCCCAGTACCTCTCGCCGTGCCTCCACACTTTCCATCCCCTTCGTAACCAGTGGCCCCCTTAAACTGGCGGCCATATCTGCCAACCTCTTGCACTCCTCCGGGCCGTACACCTTCTGCCCCGACGTCGTGAGCCCCCCCCTAAACATTTTCTGGGGGTCTCTCCTCTCGGTGGACCAGGCCTCCATAGTCCTCTCCCAACCTTCGCTCTTCTGGCTCCACCACCCTTAATCCAGGTGGGTTTTTCTGTCACGATCGCCAATGAAGTATGACCAAAGCGCAGCGTTGGGAGTGAACATGATGATTTTAATTTTGAAACACACGACAAAACAACACACGATCCGTGACGTCCTCAGTTACACCGACTGAATAAAGAACAAAAACCCACAACCACAAGGTGAACACAGACATTTAAATATGGCTCCCAATCAGAGATAACGAGCCGACAGCTGACACTCGTTACCTCCGATTGGGAGTCACTGACCAAACATAGAACGCGAACACCTAGACACTACCCACAGTACACAACACACGGAAATCTACACACCCTGACTAAACACAAAAAGTCCTAGAACCAGAGTGTGACAATGACCCAAATGTTTCTATTCACAAGTAAATTCATATTATTCAAAATTATGCATAATTCATAGTATCAGTCAATCTTTACCCCTTTAATCCTATTCTTAACGGGCTGGTAGAGCATGTTTTGACAGTGGATTTAGAAGTGGAGATGAAACAAATCTTCACTTGAACTTGATTGGTCAGCTCTGCCAGCCCTCCTGCAGCAATTTCCATAATTTGAATCCTAATGGGTTGCTGCAGTTCAGTGTTTGCAAATTGCCATTCTAATGTGGCATTGCTAATGACCCTCTTTTGACTTCTCAACCGCCTGGTAGAGTTCTGTATTTTTCAAGAAGACACAGTTAAAAGGTTAAACATTCATTTAAATGTGTCTATAGTCTGAGTGATGTAATTATGCAATACAAAGCATAAACTAAGTCCATTCAAAGTGTTGGAATAAATATTTAATGTAAAAAAACAACAGTGTTTATAGTTTTCTTTTTACAGTATGAAAACATCTATAGACTACAAGAACTCTAGTTGCACAAAGCCCAAATATAACAGCAGAAAAAGAGTGCAATGATTGCTATACATCCAAGAATCAGATTTGGAAGGATATGCATAATTTTTTCTCTCCATGATAAGTATTATAATTATGGTTAATTACTGTAAACAATTGCTTTCATTCACTGGTCCTCTGTAGCTCAGCTGGTAGAGCACGGCGCTTGTAACTCCAAGGTAGTGGGTTCGATCCCCGGGACCACCCATACACACAAAAAAAAAAAAAAAATGTATGCACGCATGACTGTAAGTCGCTTTGGATAAAAGCGTCTGCTAAATGGCATATTATTATTATATTTCCCAAACTCCTACACTCTATCTCTCTCTCTCCTTATAATATCATGGCCCTGGGCTCTGCCTATACTGTGGAGGGAAAGATCATCTACTCAGCCATTGCCCTGTCCGCTCCCCACGGAGAGATGTGTCCCTCCGCTGCCATGCAGGTAGGCGTGTCCTTATTTCTAAATATCTCCCAGAAGCAATTCTCCATCCCAGTATTGATAACCGCGAAGGGAGTTACTAAGTACGTAGAGGGCTTGATAGATTCGGGAGCAGCAGGTAATTTTATCGATCACCAGCTAGTACAAGAGCTTGACATTGATCTAACACCTGTCACCCCTCCCTTAAGGATTAACGCCCTGGACAGGCAGCCATTGGGCACAGACTTCATTACGCACCTGACACAGAGCGTCACCCTCCAGATTGGAGTCTTCCACACCGAAACCATTCAACTCATGGAACTCTCATCCCCCAAACAGCCACTCATCCTCAGACACCCCTGGCTTTGTCGTCACGACCCTGCCATCTCGTGGCGACAAGGTGAACTACTGTCCTGGTCTTCTACCTGCAGAGCCACCACCATTGAGGACTCTGCCTCTGCAGTACCACCCACCATACCATCTGAATACGCCCAGTACAGCAATATCTTCAGCAAAATCAAGGCCTCCACTCTGCCACCACATCGTCCAGTGGACTGTGCTATTGACTTACTCCTGGAGTGTCCCCACCGAAGGGCCTTGTTTACCCCCTATCTATCCTGGAAAATGAGGCAATGGAGAACTACATTGATGAAGCACTCGGAAACGGTTTCATTCATCCTTCTTCTTCCCCGGCTGCATCCAGCTTCTTCTTCGTTGGAAAAAAGGACGGTGGTCTCTGTCCATGTATTGATTACCGTTCCCTGAATGACGTCACGGTCAAGAACCGTTTCCCTCTTCCTCTGATCCCAGCGACCCTTGAACAAGTGGGCTGTGCCAACATCTATACAAAACTCGACCTGCGATGTGCTTATAACCTTGTCCGATTACGTGAAGGCGACGAATGGAAAACAGCCTTTATCACTGCATGAGGGCACTACGAATACCTGGTCATGCCCTACGGCCTTACTAACGCCCCCGCCGTCTTCCAATCCTTTATGAACGAGGTTTTCCAGGATATGATCAACCGCTTTCTCATCGTCTACATTGATGACATCCTGATTTACTCCCACTCCCTGAAGGAACACATACAGCATGTACAAAAGGTTCTTCAACGGCTCCTTGACCATAACCTTTATGTGAAGACTGAAAAGAGCACCTTCCATGTAACCTCGGTAAACTTCCTCGGTTTCGTACTGACACCTGGAGGGGTCAGCATGGATGAGAACAAAGTCACCGCCGTCAGTAACTGGCCCAAACCCACCACCGTTAAGGACCTCCAACGTTTCATTGGATACTCCAACTTCTATCGCCGGTTCATTCTGAACTTCAGTTCTACTGCTGCTCCCCTCCCTGCCCTTACCAGGCAAAAGACCCGGACCCTTCAATGGACTGATACTGCCCTGACTGCTTTCAACAACTTGAAGCGCCTCTTCACCTCAGCTCCTGTCCTTCGCCACCCTGATCCGACCCTTCCTTTCATCCTGGAGGTGGATGCCTCCAAAGTAGGAGTAGGAGCCATACTCTCTCAACGGGTGGGAACACCTCCAAAATCACATCCCTGTGCCTTCTTCTCCAGGAAGTTATCCGTCGCTGAGAGGAATTACTCATTAACCCTTGTGGAGTGGCGCCACTGGTTGGAGGGCGCACAACATCCCTTTCTCATCCTAACAGATCATCATAATCTGGAATATATCAGAGGGGCCAAGGGGTTAAACTCCAGACAAACCTGCTGGGTTCTCTTCTTCACATGCTTCCATTTTCATGTTACTTACATCCCTGGAAAGAAAAACGTAAAAGCTGATGCTCTCTCCTGCCAGTTTGACCTTCCGACCAGTAACTCAGACCCTACACCCATTCTTCCTTCCTCTTGCATTATGGGACTGGTACAGTGGGAGGTTCACTCTGCTATTCAAGAAGCCCTAACCTCAGACCTGGCTCCTCCTGAGACACCAGCTGGGAAGAGTTACGTACCAGCAGCTGTTAGACCACAACTGATGCAATGGTGTCACATGTCCTTGGGGTCAGGACATCCGGGCACTACACGAACCACCAAACTTCTAGCCCGTAAGTTCTGGTGGTCCTCACTGGCATCCGATGTAAGGGATGACGTACTCTCCTGTCCATTCTGTGCCCAAACCAAAAGACCTCGTCATCTCCCTTCTGGTAAGCTTCACCCTTTGCCAATCCCTCACAGACCCTGGTCCCACATAGTTGTTTACTTCTTCACAGACCTTCCTGAATCCTCTGGTAACACCACTATCCTTGTCATAGTAGACAGTTTTTCAAAGATGTGTCGTCTGGTTCCTCTTCCTCATTTACCTAACGCCATAGAATTGGCTGAGTGTATGTTCCAGCAGGTGTTCCGTCTGTATGGGATTCCAGAGGACATCGTCTCTGACTGCGGGCCCCAGTTTGTCTTCCGGGTGTGGCGAGCCTTCTGTGACCGACTGGGGGTCGCCCTCATCCTCTCCTCCGGGTACCACCCCCAGACCAACGGGCAGACAGAACGCCTGAACCAAGAAATAGGGAAGTACCTCCGCCAACAATGTTCTGCCTCTCCACACGACTGGAGTCGGTATATGGCCTGGGCCGAATACGCTCAGAACTCACTCATGCATTCATCCCTTCGCCTTACTCAGTTTCAGTGTGTACTTGGTTACCAACCCCCATGTTTCCCTGGGAGGCGGAGCCTGGTACTACGCCACTCTTTCACCCCGGACAGCGTGAGTGGCTCTCTACCAGAGACATCTGGCTCTGCCTCCCCTGCAAAAAGTTCTGTCCTCGCTTCATTGGTCCCTTCAAGATAACCCATCGCATCAACCCTGTCACGTACCGCCTCCAGTTACCCCATCAGTATAAAATCTCCTCGTCGTTCCATGTGTCTCTGTTAAATCCGGTCACCTACAGTCCTCTTCATCCTCCAGTCTCAACCCGCAGTGCGCCCCCACCGTTGGACGTCGGAGGGGAACCTGCCTACGCCATTCAGGCCATCCTTGATTCCAAACGCCTGAGAGGTTGCATCCACTATCTAGTGGACTGAGAAGGTTATGGGCCTGAAGAACGGTCCTGGGTTCCCGACCAGGACATCCTCAACCCAGAGATGATTCAGGCATTCCATCGTAACCGTCCGGATCGTCCCGCTCCCCGACCTCGGGGTCGACCCCCGAACAGACCCACTGGACATCAGCCTCGACGCAGAACGTCAGGTCAGTCTACGACCTTGTCGGACCAGCCTGCCGGACCTCGCCCCCGAGGTAGGCGGCAGCCTCTGCTCCCCCGCCTGCCCGCTCCACCCTCAGGTGCTGTTGGGTCGTCAGGAGCCTCCATTGGGGGGGGGGGGGGGGGGGGGGGGGGGGGGGGGGGGGGGGGGGGGTACTGTAAGGTTCTGTATTTATTTTTATAGTCAACCTTGTGTTCTTGAACGTAGCCCTGTTTCTTTGTGTTTAAAATTTACAATATAGCTAATTCTTGTGTAATACAATGTTAAAACCATGTATTAGAAACACTACGTTTTACTACAGCCTTTGCCTATTTTTTATTTAACCTTTATTTTAACAGGGAGTCATGCTGAGACCAAGGTCTCTTTTACAGATGAGCTCTGTAATTCCAAAAATATACACATTAATACAATATGAAAAGCAAAGCAGAGATTAAAAAAAACACAGTCAAAGAAAACAAAGACTGGTATGGTAACTAAGTTATTAATGACGTTTAGGTAAAGCGGGAGTTTTTGTAAAATAGCTTTATAAACAAAAAAAGAGCAATGCATCGATCTACGAGAATTCAAAGAGGGACAACCTACTTTCTGATACAGAATGCAGTGATGTGTACTGAACCTGTCGGCCGTAATAAAGTGTAGTGTGCTTAGATAAACTGCATAATTTTATAAATGCATCAAACACTTGTGTGGCTTTCATGTGCAAGCTTCAAATAAACAACCTGTCAATAATTTAAGAGGTTGGTTTAATTATTTACTGTACTGTCTACTGAATTATTTTGACCTTACATTCATGTGAAGTAACCTGAGTTGGTTTAGTCAATTAGAAGCCTTGTTAAGTTTTTGGGCCAGTCACGTGAACTCTGGGTTTGCTGTTGCAAGGAACTTTTTGGGGCTCTGGGACTCCTGACTCTGCTCAAGCTGTGAGGAGGAGAAGATGACAATATTGTTGTTGAGCTTAAACTTTTACATCGGGAGAAATTTCAAATTACATTTAGCAAAAAGACTGTTGCTTAATCTTATATTTTTATTTCCTTATATTAATTGTGTTATGTGACTGATAATTTTGATTTACTAGTATCCAAGTCAAATTGTATTGTGTGTGGTTGTATTTTCCTTGAGTCACTCTTTCTTATTGCATGGGAGAACTATCTGGAAACAGGCATCTATGATATAAATTTATATTAGTAATATACCTCTCGTTTTTTCCCCTATCAAGTCAATTGAGTTAATTTACTGAGATTATTCCCATGCTGATTCATCCGAGCCTGTGGTGAGAGTGTTACACTTGCATGATCAAGGAAAAAATAAACTGAGAGCTACAGTACAATCTGTAAAAGGAGATTTTGATCTCTGTCCCTATCTTTAGCTCTATGTAGGCTCACCAGCTTTGCTGCAGTCCACATTGAAGATGTTTCTCCTTCCCAGACAGGCTTCATTCAGGCCTGGGCCGCTACTGACAACCTTACAGGCATCAGACTGGAAGGAGGACCATAGAGAGGACGCCAAACAGCCATTGATTACTCTCCTCATCAGATGACCTGTGATAGGTGATAACGTATTATGACATGACCCGTACGTAGTTTATGTGCCTAATTTCCCCTCTCTAAATGAGACATGGAAAGACACACATTTGAGACAGTAAACCTTCACCATAAAATAATAGTACTGATTAATACCTTTGGTCTGTCCCGACCCTGATGCATCATCTCCAGCAGGGCCATACACTGGCACCAGGTAAGGACTGTCCTGAATGTGCTTGTCATCGAACTTGACTGACACCTCATAGTCACCTAGAGGAAAAGCATAATTTTTGGTGGTACTCTGTTTTACATTACATTGAATGTGTCAGGGGACAATGTGGAGGTGAGGCCTGTGTTTCTATACCTGGTTCCAGAGCAACGTAGGAGATCCCACAGGAGCCATCTTCCCTGTCCTCAAAGGTGAGCTCTGCCTGACCTGGGCCCTCCATTGTTACCGACAGACTCCTGGCACCTGCCTCTCGAGTCCAGATACTGAAATCACCTGCACAGAAAGAAAGATAGATACAACACATGTGCAAGGCACACACAAACTAGAACATCTGCACTCAGTACAGTACAGTACAGTACCGTAGAACCACATACATTTATGTGGACTATAAATAACTTATCTAGGGACATACCTGGAATGCTTGCTTCAGCACTCTGCAGTCCCAGTCCCCAAGCCTGCACGTTCTCTGGTCCTTCCTCCCCTAGTGGGCCCACAGTGTACTGGTAAGGACTGCCAGGGATCTGCTGGCCTTTGTACCTCACACTAACTGCATGGACACCCATCTCACTGGGCACGAAGCTCACAGAGCCTGTGACGTCTGCTTCTTCTATGGCCCCAGAGGGACTCATGGGCAGATATGTGCTGGGCGTCCAGGCCTGTAAAATGGCAGACAGAGCTCACTCAGGTTGACTCAGTGATGTCAATAAAAAAGACTAGGTCAGAAGGCTCCTCTACTTGGTATTTTGAGGGTACTCCCACACACGTTGCCGACACTGGCGATAGTTACAGCTCCCTGGAAGTGGGTTATGCTTTCTCTGACATAGCCACTCTCTGTCACCTCTGCTGTAAACTGACTCCCTGGACAATACATAACACATACACTATATATACAAAAGTATGTGGACACCCCTTCAAATGAGTGGATTTGGCTATTTCAGCCACACCCGTTGCTGACAGGTGTATAAAATCGAGCAGACAGCCATGCAATCTTCATAGACAAACATTGGCAGTAGAATGACATTACTGAAGAGCTCAGTAACGTTCAAAGTGGCACCGTCATAGGATGCCACCTTTCCAACAAGTCAGTTCGTCAAATTTCTGCCTTGGTCAACTGTAAGTGCTGTTATTGTGAAGTGGAAACGTCTAGGAGCAACAATGGCTCAGTCGTGAAATGGTAGGACACAAATCAAATCAAATTTTATTTGACACATGCGCCGAATACAACAGGTGTAGACCTTACAGTGAAATGCTTACTAGCCCTTAACCAACAATGCAGTTTTAACCCTCCCGTTGTCCTAGGGTCAAAATGACCCGCCACTGTGTTGAACCAACTTTATTTAATTTTTATATTTTTTGGATCATTTGTGAGAAGGAGGCAGTGATACTTTCTTTAAAGTCTCACTTCCTCCTTCTCACAAATGATTACAAAAATAAAAAAATTAAATAAAGTTGGTTCAACACAGTGGCGGGTCATTTTGACCCTAGGACAACGGGAGGGTTAAGAAAGAATACCCTATAAATAAAATAAATAAAAGTTACAAATAATTAAAAAGCTGCAGTAAAATAACAATAGCGAGGCTATATTCAGTGGGTACCGGTACAGAGTCAATGTGCGAGGGCACCGGTTAGTCGAGGTAATTGAGGTAATATGTACATGTAGGTAGAGTTATTAAAGTGACTATGCATAGATAATAAACAGAGAGTAGCAGCAGCATAAAAGGAGGGGGGACAATGCAAATAGTCTGGGTAGCCATTTCATTAGATGTTCAGGAGTCTTATGGATTGGGGGTAGAAGCTGTTTAGAAGCCTCTTGGACCTAGATTTGGCGCTCAGATACCGCTTGCCGTGCGGTAGCAGAGAGAACAGTCTATGACTAGGGTGGCTGGAGTCTTTGACAATTTTTAGGGCCTTCCTCTGACACCGCCTGGTAGCAAGCTCACAGAACGGGACTGCCGAATGCTGAAGTGCGTAGTGCTTAAAAATTGTCTGTCCTTGGTTGCAACACTCACTACCAAGTTCCAAGCTGCCTCTGGAAGCAACGTCAGCACAAGAACTGTTCGTCAGGAGCTTCATGAAATGGGTTTCCATGGCCGAGCAGCCACACACAAGCCTAAGATCACCATGCGCAATGCCAAGCGTTGGCTGGAGTGGTATAAAGCTCGCCGCCATTGGACTCTGGAGTAGTGGAAACGCATGATGAATCACGCTTCACCATCTAGCAGTCCGACGGACGAATCTGGGTTTGGCGGATGCTAGGAGAACGCTACCTGCCCGAATGCATAGTGCCAACTGTAAAGTTTGGTGGAGGACGAATAATGGTCTGGGGCTGTTATTCATGGTTCTGGCTAGGCCCCTTAGTTCCAGTGAAGGGAAATCTTAACGCTACAGCATACAATGACATTCTAGATGATTCCAACTTTGTGGCAACAGTTTGGGGAAAGCCCTTTCCTGTTTCAGTATGACAATGCCCTCGTGCACAAAGCGAGGTCCATACAGAAATGGTTTGTTGAGATCGGTGTGGAAGAACTTGACTGGCCTGCACAGAGCCCTGCACAGAGCCCTGACCTTAACCCCATCGAACACCTTTGGGATGAATTGGAACGCCGACTGCGAGCCAGGCCTAATCACCCAACATCAGTGCCCGACCTCACTAATGCTCTTGTGGCTGAATGGAAGCAAGTCCCCGCAGCAATGTTCCATCATCTAGTGGAAAGCCTTCCCAGAAGAGTGGAGGCTGTTATATCAGCAAAAGGGGGACCAACTCCATATTAATGCCCACAATTGTGGAATGAGATGTTCGATGAGCAGGTGTCCACATACTTTTGGTCATGTAGTGTACATTACATACGGTTTGAATACAAACACAGCTTCTCTGTTCAAACTGTTCTATTTACTAACATTAGTTCACAGAAGTAGTGTAGCTACCTAGCACATGTTCCTCTGCGAATTTGACTGAGAGGGTGTAGGCCCCAGGCTCTGTGGGGCAGAAGGAGATGACACAGAACCCATCCTCCATCTCCTCTGTCTGGACCTCCACAGTACTGGGACCCTCAATAGCCAGAGTCAGACCCCCATAGCCTGATAAATTGTTGAGCCACTATAAAGTGTTACTGTCGAATTTCTGAAAATATTCACATGGTGATATGTTTCTTTGTTTGGGGGGGAGATTTGTGACTCACCTGCATCTCGTGTATCCACAACAAAGTCTGACATCTCAAAGGTGCGCCCCGTCGCCAGCCCTGGTCCAAAGACCTTGACCCTTCTGGGGTCTGTAATCTCTAACTGGGTGATGGTGAGAGGGATGGGACTATTGGCCACATCCATCCTTCATCACGTTAACCAGATGCTCTCTCACCTCTTTGGGGATGAAGGATATACCTGCACAGCAGAAGAAAAGTGAGACTGTTCTTTAAAACAAGGGATTTTACATTCATCCCACGGAACTCATTTTCCCAGGGGGCTTTGGTCCTCGCTCTTAGTCCCCAGTGCCCTCAACTCCTGAACCCTGACCTATGTGTCTGTCAGGCTGCCTCTTCAGCAGGCAGGACACATCCAGGCCTGAGGGAAACATGATGCTGGCTGTGAGCAGACTGATATCCTCTTCTATGATGTCCAGGCTGAAGTCAGTCGCTGTGCCCAACATCACCCTGCGGGACCTCCGGGGAACCACACCTTCACCAGCCACTGCACAGGGACAGGTGAGACAGGTGAGACAGCAAAGGTGAGGTGAAGTTCTTAAACATTCTCTTTATCTTAATTTTAGTTCTACCTTTCCTACCCTGTAGACCTACCAACCACATACTGTAGATACTGCTGCTTACTAGCGATCCTTGCCGTGAAGGGACTTCCTGTGATGTGCTCGTTGTTGTGTCGTACTAGGATGCTGTAGTCACCAGAAACTGTGTTGTTCATGAGGCGAATCTCTGCTTTAGATGGACCCTCGAGGGAAATGTCCAGTTTACCTGGTGATTAAAGAACAGGTATAGTATCTGCCTTCCAGAATGATTCAGAAACCTTTGGTGTGGTGTTAGTTGCATTTCGTGTGTTCTGTCTTTAGGTTCAAAAGTAAGTATTTCTCATTTGCTAATGAAGGGACTCTTACAGTGTGTTGAGTCTTTGTTGAAGATGGTGAAGGTTGCGATCTTGTTTGTCATGCCATAGACTAGGCCTGCCCCATGTGCCATAGTGTCAGAGTTACTGGCATTGTTCACGTAGAACTGGAGAGGGCTCTCTAAAATGCAGATTTGAGTAATAAGACAATGGTTAGCTTATTTTTTGCCTTTCTATTATATGTAAGGAATGGGTTTAATAAACCTGACATCACTCTTACCGGGGAGAGCAGTGCCATCAACCTTGATGTGCATTTGATGGAGGCCTTCTTCTGTGGGATCATACATCAGTGTGACCGTTCCATCTCGGTTATCAGTTACATCAGCCGGGGCCCTATTACCGGATGGAATACATACTTCACCTAAGAAATCATTTTTGAGCGCAATTGTGAATTGAGCAAATGTGAATACAACTAAAAGGTGTTATTTTCCACCAATCTCTGGTAAATCGCTTCCAGGATACATGAAAAGTTAGAAAACTTCAATGCAGGCATCTATGTTCCACCTTTGATTTCCCCCTCTGTCAAGCTGTATGCCATAACAATGTCAAAGGGCATCAGTCCAGTTCGGTTCACATGGCTAAGGGGAATGTAAGAGATGTGTGTCATCTGTAGAGAGAGAGGTGCTAAAAGTGGCTATGACAACTTTCCAACACCAGTGGGCTTTTTAATCAAGCTGTATTATACGGCGCAACAAAGAGCTAAAATGTAAATGAACAGCACTATATAAAAGCTTGTTGTCTTGATAGAAAATTATTTAAAAGGATGTTAGAGTAATTTGGGAGCCCCACACCCATAGTGATCATGTTTAATCGTCAATTAAACAGACAGCTCCAAAGCTGCATATATTCCTGCCGCTCTGAAAGGGAAGAATGTCCATACCGAAGGCTGGCCATCTCTGTGAGAAGCTTTTTGCTTCCATTTGGACTGCTGCCCATCACGTCCTGAGTCCAAGTCATTGTCTGGAGCCTGAGCACATACACACAGAACAGGTCCAGCATGCAACGAAAAAAAAAACATTACCTTAACACACAGGCATGAGATTCACCTATTATATATACATAAAGTTACAAGAAAAATGAAACGTCAAAACTATTTCAGTAGGCATATAATAGGCTATAATACACATTATTTGGTAGTGGTAACCAGCGTTGGTGTGAATTCCATTTATATTTAGTAAATTCAGGAGAATTAAAAATACAATTCAAGAATAAAAAATGTAACAACTGACCCCCAACCTTGGTTGAAATGCATCTAATTTGACTACTCTAACTAAAGTTAGCTAAATATCCAGCTAGCCAGGTTTCCTTAGCATCTTGTACACAGCCCACAGCCCTTGTGGCTAGGACCACGGATTGTGACTTTTTGAATCGCTGCTGTTTATTGCTGTTTCCATCTGCCCTGCGACCTGACCTGTCTGGAACTGCGAGGAGTAACAGCGTAGCCTACGTTGTTACCATGACAAAGACCAAAGCCGGTGGGAGTACTGTTGAAGACAGTGGTGAATCTCTATCACAGGTGAAGGATCTTTTAAACAAACAAAAACATTTTCTACAAGCAGTTGTTACAACAACAAGAAAATAGCTTAAAGTGTTGTGTCCAAATACTGGTGGAGTCAACTAATAAAAGAATGGACAATCTGACCAGAGGCCTGAAGAACAGTTTGCAGTTCTCCCAGGGTCAGCTCGATTAGTTTAAACAGCAAGATGACCGCAATCTGTAAGTCATAAAAAATAAAAATAAATAAAGATATGCCATTTAGCAGACGCTTTTCTCCAAAGCGACTTACAGTCATGCGTGCATACATTTTTGTGTATGGGTGGTCCCGGGGATTGAACCCACTACCTTGGCGTTACAAGCGCCGTGCTCTACCAGCTGAGCTACAGAGGACCACAGTTCAGTTGTGTATGCTCTGGAAAGAGCCAAGAACTTGAGAGAAATGTACACTACCAGTCAAAAGATTGGACACACCTACTCATTCAAGGGTTTTTCTTTATTTTTACAATCTTTTACATTGTAGAATAATAGTGAAGACATCAAAACTATGAAATAACACATATGGAATCATGTAGTAACCAAAAAAAGTGTTAAACACATCCAAATGTATTTTATATTTGACATTCTTCAAATAGCCACCCTTTGCCTTGATGACAGCTTTTCACACTCTTGGGATTCTCTCAACCAGCTTCATGAGATAGTCACCTGGAATGCATTTCAATTATCAGGTGTGCCTTCTTAAAAGTACATTTGTGGAATTTATTTCCTTCATAATGCGTTTGAGCCAATCAGTTGTGTTGTGGCAAGGTAGGGGGGGTTACACAGAAGATAGCCCTATTTGGTAAAAGACCAAGTCCATATTAAGGCAAGAACAGCTCAAATAAGCAAAGAGAAACAACAGTCCATCATTACTTTAAGACATGAAGGTCAGTCAATTCGGAAAATTTCAAGAACTTTGAAAGTTTCTTCAAGTGCAGTCACAAAAGCCATCATGCTCTATGATGAAACTGGATCTCATGAGTACCGCCACAGGAATGGAAGACCCAGAGTTACCTCTGCTGCAGAGGATAAGTTCATTAGAGTTACCAGCCTCAGAAATTGCAGCCCAAATAAATGCTTCACAGAGTTCAAGTAAAAGACACATCTCAACATCAACTGTTCAGAGGAGACTGTGTGAATCAGACCTTAATGGTCAAATTGCTGCAAAGAAACCACTACTAAAGGACACCAATAATAAGAAGAGACTGCTTGGGCCAAGAAACACAAACAATGGACATTAGACTGGTGGAAATTTGTCATTTGGTCTGGAGTCCAAATTGGAGATTTCTGGTTCCAACCGCCGTGGCTTTGTGAGACGCGGTGCGGGTGAACGGATAATCTCCGCATGTGTATTTCCCACCGTAAAGCATGGAAGAGGAGGTGTGATGGTGTGGGGGTGCTTTGCTGGTGACACTGTCTGTGATTTATTTAGAATTCAAGGCACACTTAACCAGCATGGCTACCACAGCATTCTGCAGTGATACGCCATCCCATCTGGTTTGGGCTTAGTAGGACTATCATTTGTTTTTCAACAGGAAAATGACCCAACACACCTCCAGGCTGTGTAAGGGCTATTTGACCAAGAAGGAGAGTGATGGAGTGCTGCATCAGATGACCTGGCCTCCACAATCCCCCTACCTCTACCCAATTGAGATGGTTTGGGATGAGTCGGACCGCAGAGTGAAGGAAAAGCAGCCAACAAGTGCTCAGCATATGTGGGAACTCCTTTTTGAGAGAATGCCATGAGTGTGCAAAGCTGTCATCAAGGCAAAGGGTGGCTATTAGAAGAATCTTCTATTTAATATATATATATATATGTATTTTTTTTAAATTTGTTTAACACTTTTTTGGTTACTACATGATTCCATATGTGTTATTTCATAGTTTTGATGTCTTCACTACTATTCTACAATGTAGAGAATAGTAAAAAATACCCAAGAATGGTAAAGCAGCCTTTACTGGTTCTAACAGCCGACCTATCAGCTCGCTGCCAGCTCTTAGCAAACTGTTGGAAAAAATTGTGTTTGACGAAATACAATGCTTATTTCTCTGTAAACAAATTAACAACAGACTTTGAGCATGCTTATAGAGAAGGGCACTCAACATGTACTGCACTGACACAAATGACTGATGATTGGTTGAAAGAAATTGATAATAAGAAGATTGTGGGAGCTGTACTGTTAGATTTCAGTGCAGCCTTTGATATTATTGACCACCTGTTGTTGAAAAAACATATGTGTTATGGCTTTTCAACCTCTGCCATATCGTGGATTCAGAGCTATCTATCTAATAGAACAGATAGTTTTCTTTAATGGAAGCTTCTCTAATGTTAAACATGTAAAGTGTGGTGTACAGCAGGGCACCTCTCTTGGCCCTCTACTCTTTTCACCAATGACCTGCCATTGGCATTAAACAAAGTCTGTGTGTCCATGTATGCAGATGATTCAACCCTATATGTGTCAGCAACCACAGGTAGTGAAATCACTGCAACCCTAAACAAAGAGTTGCAGTCAGTTTTGGAATGGGTGTCCAGTAATAAACTGGTCCTAAACATTTCTAAAACTAAGAGCATTGTATTTGGTACAATTTCTAGACATCAGCTGAATTTGGTAATGAATGGTGTGGCTGTTGAGCAAGTTGAGGAGTTACCTTAGATTGTAAACTGTCATGGTCAAAACATATTGACTTAATTACATTTTAGTCATTTAGCAGACGCTCTTATCCAGAGCGACTTACAGGAAATGTAAGAATGACGTTATTAAAATGGCAAAAGGTTAGTATAAGGGATTTTCTCCCCCGAATTATTTTACGTTCTACCTGGAAAACTCATTTTCATCAGCATATTTGACCACCAGAGAATGAGGACCCTCCATGGAAGGGGAGTAGGCCACAGAGTAGGTTCCATCTCCATTGTCTGTCACCTCCACAAGCTCCATCTTACCTGGATAAAGTAAAAGACAGGGAAAGCAACATGACAGTCAATGAAAACATACATGGATCAGAAGAACAAAAACATGAATATCAGATATACATGTACAGTAATCCCTCGTTTATCGCGGGGGTTACGTTCCGAAAATGACCCGCGATAAGTGAAATCCGCGAAATAGAAAACTTTTTTTTTTTTACAATTAGCAACTATTACATGTATACAAATACAGTGACTCACGTGTAGGCCGTTTCACTGCTCTTCAGACTGGGCCGCTGCATCCTGACTGCGCTCTGCAGTGTTCTCTTCTTCTGAAGCCCGCGGTGCAGGTGTGTTTGTTCGGGAGAAGAACATAGTGATAGGCAGCTGTTGTCGCTCTTTTTTCTTCTTTGCAAAAAGATCCTTGTACACCGACATGCCACCATCGATTACGTTGGAGAACTGTAATGAACGGCTCATCAAAGGGTCCCATTCCTCAGCTACTCGCTTAAGTTCAGTGGCCATTCGCACCATGGTTGCTAAGCGACCAAGCGTTAGTCCTTCCTCCTCATTGACTGCTGCTGTCGTCCTTATGTTTTTTTCCTCCTTCTTTATGTAACGAACGGAAGATTCATTGATTCCGTAATGGCGAGCAACGGCTGCATAGCTTTTACCTTCCCTTAGCATGTCCAGAAGTTTAACTTTATCTGAGATAGGTAGCATCTTCCGCCGTTTGGGCCCATCCGCAGGTGCTTTTGTCGGTCCAGGCCGTTTCGTCGACATTATGGGTTTAGGAGATGTTCGAAATTACAAGATAATTTGGCCAACTTAATGTAAATTTGCCAAGCTGTTTTATGTACGTACACATAACTGCACGAGACGACAAAATGATAGCACAATTCGTAGCATGTTTTGATACAAGAAGCGGGAGTGAGTTTTTAGCGAATCAGAATGCAGAGCACAATGCACCAAAAAAAAAAAAAATGCATTATGAAAATCCGCGAAATAGCGAATCCGCGATAAGTGAACCGCGAAGTGGCGAGGGATCACTGTATATGAAATCATGTTCTCACCACTAGGTGTCATAACAGCAACAGACTCTGGAGCCTCTCCAGTCTTGCTACAGTCAATGGTGAAAGTCTGGGGAGTTTTGACACAAATTCCTGACTCCAAGCCAGAGACTTTCAACTTGTTGGCCTGATTTGTGGGCAGCACTTGGAAGTTGGAGAGACTGAAATAAAGTATAGAACATATTGACATGAAAAAGACTTTCCTAAAATTGTATTTCCTGATTAAAAACCTGTTTATATATATATATATATATTTTTAACACCATCTGAAGTCCCACCTGCAAAATTCATCCTCATCGACATATTTAACAACCAGAAAGTGAGAACCCTCCATAGAAGGGGAGTAGGCCACTAAGTATGTCCCATCTCCATTGTCTGTCACATCCAGAAGCTCCATTTTACCTGCATAGATACAATAAAGAAATACACAATTTTCACCGAAGTGAAACTATACAACTTTATGCAATACCAACAAAGATGTTTGCTGGTAATCAATTAAATAGCGTACTCACCACTTGTCGTCATGACAGCCACAGCTTCTGGGACCTCTCCAGTCTTGCTATAGTCTATGGTGAAGGTCTGAGGTATCTTGGCACAAACTCCTGACTCCAAAACTGGAGTAGACACTTTCAACTTGTTGGCATCATTAGAGGGTTTCACATGTAAGTTGAAGGGACTGCAACAAACTGAAAAATTGACACTGAACATTTCACTAAACTGATCACAATAACAATTTGAACGAACATGAGCAACTGCAGAATTCAATTCAATTCTTACCTGCAGAATTCATCTTCATCTGCATATTTGACCACTAGAGAGTGAGGGCCCTCCATTGGAAGGGGAGTAGGCCACTGAGAAGGTTCCATCCCCATTGTCTGTCACCTCCACAAGCTCCATCTTACCTGAATAAAGTAAAAGATGGCAAAAGCAACATGGCAGTCAAATAAAATATATGAATATGAAGAAGAAAGAAACATGAAAATCAGATAGAAATTAAATAATTTTCTCAATGGTAGGTGTCATAACAGCAACAGACTCTGGGGCCTCTCCCGTCTTGCTACAGTCAATAGTGAAGGTCTGGGAAGTTTGGGCGCAAGTTTCTGACTCTAAGCCTGACCCCGAGACTATCAACGTGTTGGCCTGATTTGTGGGCAGCACTTGGAAGTGGGAGAGACTGAAATACAGTAAAGAACATGTTAACATGAAAAAGATTGTTTCCTTAAATGGTATTTCACACTTGAAAAAACATTGTGTTCTTTTTAAAAATGCGATCTGAAGTCTTACCTGCAAAACTCATCCTTATCGGCATACTTGATAACCAGAGAGTGAGAACCCTCCAGACAAGTGGAGCATGCCAGTGAGTATGTCCCATTTTAGGGTTCCCTCGAAACCACCCTTCAAACCTGGTCCATAAGCTTTGACCTAAAAAGAGGATGAAAGCATCAAATGTTATCATAAAAGCTGTTAGTATAACAGTTTATGTGTAAAATCAGCTCACCAGGCTTCCCTGACCCTTTAGCTCTAATGTTTGAGCCGTTAAATTATGGTTCTATTCGAACTCTGTCAGGGGTCACCTAAAATAGACAACAATTTCATACAAAGACAAAGGCAAATATATAAAAATATATTTAAAATAAAATGTTGAATGGTTCATATTTTAATTATTATATTTTTACTTACTCTGAAAGGACTGCCAGGGACACTGACCCCTCCCCAAGTCACACAGATAGTGTGTTTGGCCAGAGTGGTTGGAGTGTAGTAGCAAGTATAGAGGCCCAGCTCTTTACGAACCACCTCCACGTTGACTGGGACTTCATCAATGCCCTATGGGTTAGAGGAATGATATACGCATAGAATAAGTCCTACTTTAAGGCCATATTCAACAGTAATAACTGTAGTGAATACTAATGTACATCATATCTAGCACAGTTCGTTATGGCAAAGAACTTTAGTAAAGTGGGACCATATTAGAATTCATCAAACAGACATGGCATCATGGAGCCTAAATAGGGCTGACTCAGCCTTATGCTGCCAGTGTATCTTTGATGTTTGTACAGACACCTCTTACCCAAGCAAGGATGCCCAATGACCCATCGCCAGCAAACCTGGCATCCACTGTTCACTATACAGCCACCCTGACTCACGCCTGTTCCATACACTTTCACCTGAAAAATACATCAAATTACTAACTGAACAAAATAATTTACTGTACCTAAGTCTCAAGTACAGTTTACAAAATCACTTACAAAATCACTTCATGTGCTGCAAGACTTCTGCATCCCTGGACAAGCGCAGAATGTTCCAAATACATGGACAAGCGCAGAATGTTCCAAATACATGGAGAAGCGCAGAATGACCCAAATGCTAAATAGAGCAGAACAAATGGACCCAGTAACTGCAGGGAGGCACTCGCCTTGTGTGGGTAGCATTTATTTTTATTGGGGCTTATGTGGGACATGAAAGGATTGTCCTCGATCTCATCTTCATCACAGGTCACATGCACAGCGTATTTCCCCGGTTCTGTGGGCCAGAACCTCACGTCACACAAGCCATCATCTTGGTCATCACACTCGAACCTGGCCTTAGAGAGACCCTCGATGGCAAAGCCTACCGAGCAGAGAGATGCATTTTAGAGGCTAGATTCATTTAAATCCAAGGTGGGAGAAATACAGTGCATTCGGAAAGTATTCAGACCCCTTCCCTTTTTCCACATGTTTTTCTATTCCCCTCATCAATCTACACACAATACCCCATAATGACAAAGCAAAAACAGGTTTTTAGACATTTTTGCACAAACACAAAAAATTAAAAACAGAAACATCTAATTTATATAAGTATTCAGACCCTTTACTCTGTACTTTGTTGAAGCACCTTTATCAGCGATTACAGCCTTGAGTCTTCTTGGGTATGACGCTACAACCATGGCACACCTGTATTTGAGGAGTTTCTCCCATTCTTCTCTGCAGATTCTCTCAAGCTCTGTCAGGTTGGATGGGGAGCGTCGCTGCACAGCTATTTTCAGGTCTCTCCAGCGATGTTCGATCGGGTTCAAGTCCGGGCTCTGGTTGGGCCACTCAAGGACATTCAGAGACTTGTCCCTAAGAACGCCTGCGTTGTCTTGGCTGTGTGCTTAGGATCGTTGTGCTGTTGGAAGGTGAACCTTCGCCCCAGTCTGAGGTCCTGAGCGCTCTGGAGCAGGTTTTCATCAAGGAGCTCTCTGTACTTTGCTCCGTTCATCTTTCCCTCGATCCTGACTAGTCTCCCAGTCCCTGCCGCTGAAAAACATCCCCACGGCATGATGCTGCCACCACCATGCTTCACCATAAGGATGGCATTGGTCAGGTGATGAGCGGTGCTTGGTTTCTTCCATACGTGACGCTTGGCATTCAGGGCAAAGAGTTCAATCTTGGTTTCATCAGACCAGAGAATCTTGTTTCTCATGGTCTGAGAGACTTTTATGTGCCTTTTGGCAAATTCCAAGCAGGCTGTCATGTGTCTTTTACTGAGAAGTGGCTTCCGTCTGGCCACCATAAAGGCCTGATTGGTGGAGTGCTGCAGAGATGGTTGTCCTTCTGGAAGGTTCTCCCATCTCCACAGAGGAACTCTGGAGCTTTGTCAGAGTGACCATAGGATTCTTGGTCACCTCCCTGACCAAGGCCCTTCTCCCCCAATTGCTCGGTTTGGCCGGGCAGCCAGATCTAGGAAGAGTCTTGGTGGTTCCAAACTTCTTCCATTTAAGAATGATGGAGGCCACTGTGTTCTTGGGGACCTTCAATGCTGCAGAGATTTGTTGGTACCCTTCCCCAGATCTGTGCCTCGACACAATCCAGTCTCGGAGCTCTACGGACAATTCCTTCGACCTCATGGCTTGGTTTTTGCTCTGACATGCACTGTCAACTGTGGGACCTTATATAGACAGGTGTGTGCCTTTCCAAATCAAAATTTAATTTCCACAGGTGGACTCCAATCAAGTTGTAGAAACATCTCAAGGATGATCAATGGAAATAGGATGCACCTGAGCTCAATTTCGAGTCTCATAGCAAAGGGTCTGAATACTTAAGTAAATAAAATTTCTAAAAACCAGTTTTCACTTTGTCATTATGAGGATCTTTAAATTTTTTAAATCAGTTTTAGAATAAGGCTGTAACGTAACAAGACGTGAAAAGGGGAAGGGGTCTGAATACTTTCAGAATGCACTGTACATGCTAATCTACAGAAAATACTAGAAGTCATCTTTCTAGAATACTCTGTGACTGCATCATTAAACAGCCAGTCAAACTTACCTAACATCCCTGCATCATCTCAGATGAATTCCACGATGAAGTCAGCTGACATTTCCACCATGCCCCCTCCAGACCAGGACCCCACGCCCGGACGAGCTGGGGGCCCGCTTTGGGACCAACGTCAACCTCAAAGGGGCTGTCAACGGATAAAGGGCAATTGCTCCATGAAATATTAATTCCATGTCAAAACAACATCCGTTTTAAACAGAGAGCTCACCTCTTGAGAATGTGCTCCCCAGACCATGTTATGTCTACTGTATGTTTTCCCACAGTGTCGGGGTGATATATGTCATCAATGGCCTCTCTCGGTATGACTGGTACATCAAAGCCATCTGCCAAGAAAACACATGAAACACAATCTAGCAGCTCAACATGTTCAGGTACAGATGTAGGATCTTAATTTGATGACCCTGTTGCAGGAGAACTTTCCTTCAACGCAGGACATTTAAAACCTGTAGTGCATTTGACGTTTAGAAAGTTTGTAATTTTAGACTTGATTTTCCCTTACAAAAATGTATCAACCCCTACAAAAAGTTTCCAATAATTAAAATCCACATAATAATTCACGTTTCCTGTTGCTGCAGGATTATTTTCCTGCTGTAGCAAACTGGCTCAAATTAAGATCCTACATCTGGTACAAGAGAAAAATAGGACCAGGACAATTGAGGAAAGGATGAACAGAATCATGTGAATAAAATAAGAGGGCAGTAGAAATGATAAACACTCACCAGGTCCTTTGATATGCACCTCCAGTTCCACAGGTCCAGCCCTACTGGTGTCTACCTTGAAGTCAGCCACCTGACCAACCCTCACTCCCTTGGGCTGCAGCCCTCGGCCACTCACCCTACAGGCTTTCGGCTTGGTCACTGATACAAACGATTTGTCCATAAATACAGTGCATTTGGAAAGTATTCAGGCCCCTTGACTTTTTCCACATTTTGTTATGTTACAGCCTTATTCTAAAATTGATAAAATTGAATTTCTTCCTCATCAATCTACACACAATACCCCAAAATGACAAAGCAAAAACAGGTTTTTAGAAATGTTTGCACATTTATAACAAATGGAAAACAGAAATACCTTATTTACATAAGTATTCAGACCCTTTGCTATGAGACTCGAAATTGAGCTCAGGTGCATCCTGTTTCCATTGATCATCCTTGAGATGTTTCTACAACTTGATTGGAGTCCACCTGTGGTCATTTAAATTGATTGGACATGATTTGGAAAGGCACACACCTGTCTATATAAGGTCCCACAGTTGACAGTGCATATCAGAGCAAAAACCAAGCCATGAGGTCGAAGGAATTGTCCGTAGAGCTCAGAGACAGGATTGTGTCGAGGCACAAATCTGGGGAAGGGTACCAAAACATTTCTGCAGCATTGAAGGTCCCCAAGAACACAGTGGCCTCCATCATTCTTAAATGGAAGAGTTTGGAACCACCAAGACTCTTCCTAGAGCTGGCCGCCCAGCCAAACTGAGCAATCGGGGGAGAAGGGCCTTGGTCAGGGAGGTGACCAAGAACACGATGATCACTCTGACAGAGCTCCAGAGTTCCTCGGTGGAGATGGGAGAATCTTCTAGAAGGACAACCATCTCTGCAGCAGTCCACCAATCAGGCCTTTATGTTAGAGTGGCCAGATGGAAGCCCCTCCTCAGTAAAAGGCACATGACAGCCCGCTTTGAGTTTGCTAAAAGGCACCTAAAGGACTCTCAGACCATGAGAAACAAGATTCTCTGGTCTGATGAAACCAAGATTGAACACTTTGGCCTGAATGCCAAGCGTCACGTCTGGAGGAAACCTGGCACCATCCCTACGGTGAAACATGGTGGTGGCAGCATCATGCTGTGGGGATGTTTTTCAGTGGCAGAGAATGGGAGACTAGTCAGGATCGAGGGAAAGATGAACGGAGCAAAGTACAAAGAGATCCTTGATGAAAACCTGCTCCAGAGCACTCAGGACCTCAGACTGGGGCGAAGGTTCACCTTCCAACAGGACAACGACCCTAAGCACACAGCCAAGACAACGCAGGACTGGCTTCGGGACAAGTCTCTGAATGTCCTTGAGTGGCCCAGCCAGACCCCGGATTTGAATCCGATCAAACATCTCTGGAGAAGAATGGGAGAAACTCCCAAAATACAGGTGTGCCAAGCTTGTAGCGTCATACCCAAGAACATTGCAAAAATATCTAAAAACCTGTTTTTGCTTTGTCATTATGGGGCATTATGTGTAGATTGATGAGAGATTATATTTTATTTTTTATTAATTTTAGAATAAGGCTGTAACGTAACAAAATGTGGAAAAAGTCAAGGTGTCTGAATACTTTCTGAATGCACTGTACCTCAAAACACAAATCACCTTTGTGTAAAAACAAGGCTAGCCAGATTGCCTATTATGAGCGCTAATTAACAGAAGAGGGGCAGAGCAGTGGCACACCTGATTTGGGTTTGAGGGATGCTTCAGATTTCAGTTGAGCTTTGGGGAACATGGAGAGGTAAGTCATGATGGACTGCTCATCCACACGAGGGTCGATGATCTCCTCTGGGGCAATGACCTGGATGCAAAAGAGAAACAATGGTTATGTAAATGTACTGTATGTCCTAGCCTGATTAATTATGGTAGTGCCAATTATTCCCCAAACTGGCCTCTTCAGTTCACATGCAAGGTGACATCGCCCCTACAAGCTAAAACAACATGTATGATGTAAACTCTGCTACATTTCATGTCGTCCTTTCACTATGAGCAGAGGAGAGGAGTGACTCTACTTCCTGAAGGCTTTGTTTGTGTGGTGAATACTGTGATGAGCGATGATGTCGTAGGCCAAAAGATTACCCCCCAGAGGCTGTTCTGAGAAGTTAAAACCTAAGATGTCATCCCCCAAGCCTCTCTGGCATTGTCTACTCGCTGTACCTTGTCCCAGCTCTCCCAGTCTGGACACAGGCCTGCAGGCAGGGAGAAATACAGAGGATCAAAGGTCAGGTTCTAGACTATATAAGCTATAGGAAGTATCCCTTACCCAGTAACAACAAAGCTGGATGTTGTTTTCATGAATCCAGTTATAGTTCACTTGGGGCCAGTCCGTCCACCAGTGCCCCCAGAGCCTTGCCATTCTGCCAGTCCTGGCTGAAGTTGGTGATAGACAGTTCGGGCACATTGTCCTGGATCCACCCCAGCAGCCGTAGCTCAGGGGTCTGTTTCTTGGTCTTGTCCTGGCCCCCGTCCTCCAGTAGATGAGAAGAGATGGAGTAATGTAGGATCAAGGTCCACACCAACCCCAGAATCAGCTTCATATTCCCGTCCATGATGGCCTTGCTGTCTGTTGAGGCAGCACCATGTTATACCCACAAGAAGGGATGGGAGATCCAGTGTTATCTAACACATACAGTATCGCACATCTCCCAGTGTAAATCAAACAGACCTATAGTCTTCACTTTATAACATAACAAATTGTGGCAACATTTGCAATTGCATGGCTGTACACAGTAACTGTTAGGTACATACAACAATGACTGAACTCAATCATAGAAAACTGGCCAAATTGTTTCAAGTTAGTTAAGTATAACTACTGTACAAGTAACGGCACCTAGAAAAAATAAATAAATATGGTGTCTGCACAATGCAACCCCATGTAAAGTGTAACCAAAGAAGTGTGACTTTATCTTCTTACTTATCTTGGCATGGCTGCCAGACTGAACTTCATCCCTGAGCAATTCACCATCTCACTTACCTATAGACACCAACTTGACATTCTCCTGGTCCAGAAGCTTGAGCGCAACAGAGACATTATCCAGCCTCATCTGTCTGAATGTGGGCCTGGTGTGGTACTTCCTGAACATCTTCTTATGGCTCAACACCTCCAGTAGGGCGATGATAGTCAGCCCGTCGTTTAGGTCAAACGAGGGTCACCTATGAACCTGTTTACACACTTCAGGTGCTCGTTGCACCACCGTGTGAAGGTGTTCTTCTGGATCTTCTTCCATGATGCATCGTCTGCCAGGTTACACTCAGCGGCACACATACTGTGTTCAGCCGGAGAGACCTCGCTCTTGGTAAATGGCATACTGTAATATACTAACGTTGATTGTTCCTTGTTGCGTTTTTCCCCTTCCTCCGTTGTTTAGAATCTGATCTGTCTGTCTCCCCGTAGTGCGGTGGAGCTTTTAAAGGGGGGCGAGGTGTGGAATATGAGAAGCCATAACCTCACAGAGTTCTGGAGTTTTCGCTGGAGGCGAGGGACAAAACATCCCCTCTCCGTGTTATCTTAATAAAACATTGTCCACACTGTTAGCAATTACACTGAGGGAGTAGAATGCACGGAGAGAACAGTCCCTCTGACATATCTAACCAGTGCCATCATCATATGGAGTCTTTTTATGGAGAAAGAAGTGCATCAGACACTAGTTTTATTGACCTCACCGGGATGTGTATTGAGGGTTTTGGGATGGAGGTCAGTAAGACTACCCCTCGGGTGTAAAGCTGATCCCCATCTGGGGGCCCTATAACTAATATCCAGGCCTGACTTCATCACTACACCCCCCGGCCTGCGTTGATGTTATTCATTATTAATATCAGGATAAGACTATTATTACATATCATTTGATGGGCTAGCAACGTCTTGCCTTATGTTGCCGGTGTAGCAAAATGGGCATGTGTCATTGAGATGGACTGCATGACGGCATTGAGGTGTGTGTGTGCATGCGTGTTATTTAAAAATATTGACTCGACACCTTTGCACAACACTGAGACAAGAGTCCTCTAAACGCCAAACACATGTCCAAGTTTAAGGTACTTTTCTATCTTCCGAAAGCACCTCTGATTATCAATAGTAAAGGAATATCCATCAGAAATGCCTGGAGTAGTTCAAAGAACCTGGCATGATAGGCTACAAAGTATCTAAGGCAAAATCAACAACTGTTCAACAGGACTCACATGCCATACTGTAAACATTGAGATTTTATACGGTCAATGAGAGGTTTCTACAAACCAAACTTAACATGTGGCTCCACTTAATGTCTAATATGTGGTACTATCAGGGTAATGGAGAAAAAGAATCATGATCATGAGATTTAGAATGTTTAATTAAGGTAGCACATAAAGTACATTTTAGAGCAAATAACTATACTTCAAATTTAATCAACTATATTATCACTTTCCATATCTTTACAAAATAAAATACATATTGCACAATTATTTACATTGGAAAAAGCAATGCTTGAATTACAGTATATTTTGTGGTGAAGTTAATTGGATGGCAAATTAATTGATACTAGAGGTTTAAAATGCATGCAAACATTGATTCAAAAGGAGGTAGGCCTACTGAATAGTCAACAGTTAACATCAAATTGAGGGGGAACTTCTAACTTTTTGGGCTCAAGATCAGGATTAACCTCTGGGTATTCCTTAACCCTTTTTACCAGAATTATGTGAGTGAGTGTATGCAAATTATCTAAGATCATTCACCATGTATTCACAGATAGCCTAGGCGTTGCAATGCAGCAAATTAAAGTTTAAGGTGAATTTACATATTTTACTGGACTCTAAAACAAAGAAAGTGTTTAGGGCAGTTGGACCTTGAAGACAGAAGGTATTTCTGCAGTAATATTATACATTATTAGTGAGGATAACAGTGTACAGTATCTTTAGCCTACATTCATTGTTGAAATCCTATGAGAAGATAGAGTCCTTATGTAAAACATAAAGAGAAAAACAAAATTGCATTTATGAGGTCCTGAAATTATAACTTTAGGAAGATTGAACTTGTCTTCAATTGTACAGTATATTTGATATTCATTTCTCTCTAAAATATATCAATTAAACTATATAAGTATTCAACTAAAGGGCTCTCCATCTGAACATGAGTAAACAACTGAACAGATTAGGAGGCAATGGGTTAAATAGGTTTAGTGTACAGAAGTCTGACCATATGTACGTATGTGTGCATGTTTGCACTCATATATCCTTGTGTGTGTGTGTGTGTGTGTGTATGTGTATGTGTGTGTGTCTCACACTCAGGTCCTGGCGTAGAGCACGGCAGCAGTCATAGTCGCTACCACGGCAACTGCGTGAGGCACCCACACGATCCATCCACTCTGAAATAGGAAGTGACACAAACTGAAACACTGACCTCAGCTCTGTCTGACAGGCTGCTCTAGCCCTTTAACAGCACTTGATTGGCCAAAGCTGTCGTGGAATGCACAGAGAAAAATAACGGTTAAAAGCAACATGTTAACATAGATAAAGACAAGACAAAAATCAGCCCATAGAAAGAGAGATTTGTTAGATATTAATGATCCAGGCAAGAGGGGAAGATGTCATATTAGAAATGTTAGTTCTGTCATGGGGAGACAACACTGTATTTTCCTCAGTATTTCTGAGGAATGAGAGAGACTTTTCAATTTCGAGACAGATTTTAGATTTGTTTCATGCAGTGTGCTGACAGAGACAAACGATGCGAGATGTAGGCCGGGTTGACTGGACAGGAGTACGGTGTACCTTTCTACCACAATGCGCCGAAGCACCAATACAGCAAAGCCAGGATAAGGCCGATGAGTATGGCTTGGACAGGCAGCAATAGGGAGGTCTACAGGAGGGAAGGGATATAAAGAGACATCATTGGGAATGGGTGAATTTGACCCCAGAAGAGGGGGTCAACTCATCAAATATACTGAGTGTATTAAACATTAGGAACACCTGCTCTTTCCATGACATTGACTGACCAGGTGAATCCAGGTTAAAGCTATGATCCCTTATCGATGTCAATTGTTAAATTCATTTCAAATCAGTGCATATGAATGGGAGGAGACAGGTTAAAGAAGGATTTTTAAGCCTTGAGACATGGATTGTGTATGTGTGCCATTCAGAGGGTGAATGGGCAAGACAAAATATTTAAGTGCCTTTGAATGGGGTATGGTAGTAGGTGCCAGGCATACCGGTTTGAGTGTGTCAAGAACTGCAACGCTGCTGGGTTTTTCACGCTCAACAGTTTCCCGTGTGTATCAAGAATGGTCCCCCACCCAAAGGACATCCAGCCAACTTGACACAACTGTGGGAAGCATTGGAGCCAACATGGGCCAGCATCCCTGTGGAATGCTTTCGACACCTTGTAGAGTCCATGCCCCGACAAAGGTAGGCTGTTCTGAGGGCAAAAGGAGGTGCAACTCAATATTAGGAAAGTGTTCCTAATGTTTTGTACACTCAGTATATTAATAATAATATGCCATTTAGCAATTTTTTTTTGTGTGTATGGGTGGTCCCGGGGATCGAACCCACTACCTTGGAGTTACAAGCGCCGTGTTCTACCAGCTGAGCTACAGAGGACCACATATTGATATTGGTAAATAAAATACACAACACAATATGTCTCTGACCATATTCTAACATACTACAAGCGTGTCTAAGTCTAGAAGCAACAGTCAAGGGACAAGCGTGTAGGGAGGAGGGAGGACGGAGGGAGCAGGTGTGGTGTGATTAGAAATGCTCTGGTGAATCCTTCCTCCCACGATTCATGTTTGTGTCTGAGGTTATTTCTCCTTTAAAAAAAGTCTAACCTTCTAATGCTATGTGGAATGGAACTGAGAATAGCATTCGCAGAACTGGTATCAGGTGTTCTGCTCTCCATCTCTCTGAAGTTGCTATTCTTGTGGGATATGCAGAACCCATTCTCGTGTTTCCTTAACTCACATCGTAGTTCTTGTGTGGTTTTATATTTTATTATATTTTCTATTATTACCTATATTATTATTATAATTATAATTATTATCCCTGCATTGTTGGGAAAGAGCCCTCAAGGTAAGAATTTCACTGTACTGTTTTACACCTGTTGTATCCTGTGCAAGCGGCGAATAAATTCTGAAACTTTGAAACTTGAAACTCAAAGGAAGGGGTAGCCTGCTACTGGTGCTGCTTGAAGTCAATTTCATCTGAACTCATCTCAACTCAACATTTGAATTCAACTTCAACCCAACATTTCTAAAACATACAGTACCAGTCAAAGTTTGGACACACCTACTCATTCAAGGGTTTTTCTTTATTTTTACTATTTTCTACATTGTAGAATAATAGTGAAGACATCAAAACTATGAAATAACATATGTGGAATCATGTAGTAACCATAAAAGTGTTAAACAAATCAAATATATTTTAGATTTTAGATTCTTCAAAGTAGCCAACCTTCGCTTGATGACAGCTTTACACACTCTTGGCATTTTTTCAACCAGCTTCACCTGGAATGCTTTTCCAACAGTCTTGAAGGAGTTCCCACATATGCTGAGCACTTGTTGGCTGCTTTTCCTTCACTCTGCGGTCCAACTCATCCCAAACCATCTCAATTGGGTTGAGGTCGGGTGATTGTGGAGGCCAGGTCATCTGATGCAGCACTCCATCCCTCTCCTTGGTTAAGTGTGCCTTGAATTCTAAATAAATCACCGACAGTGTCACCAGCAAAGCACCCCCACACCATCACACCTTCTCCTCCATGCTTCAAGGTGGGAACCACACATGCAGAGATAATCCGTTCACCTACTCTGCGTCTCACAAAGACACGGCGGTTGGAACCAAAAATCTCAAATTTGGACTCATCAGACCAAAGGACAGATTTCCACCCGTCGAATGTCCATTGCTCGTGTTTCTTGGCCCAAGCAAGTCTCTTCCTCTTATTGGTGTCCTTTAGTAGTGGTTTCTTTGCAGCAATTCGACCATGAAGGCCTGATTCACGCAGTGTTACTTGAACACTGTGAAGCATTTATTTGGGCTGCAATCTGAGGTGCAGTTAACTCTAATTAACTTATCCTCAGCAGCAGAGGTAACTCTGGGTCTTCCTTTCCTGTGGCGGTCCTCATGAGAGCCAGTTTCATCATAGCGCTTGATGGTTTTTGCGACTGCACTTGAAGAAACTTTCAAAGTTCTTGACATTTTCCGGATTGACTGACCTTCATGTCTTAAAGTAATGATGGACTGTCATTTCTCTTTGTTTATTTGCGTTGTTCTTGCCATAATATGGACTTGGTCTTTTTTTTCCAAATAGGGCTATCTTCTGTACACCCCTACCTTGTCACAACACAACTGATTGGCTCAAACGCATTAAGAATGCCATGAGTGTGCAAAGCTGTCATCAAGGCAAAGGGTGGCTACTTTGAAGAATCTCAAATCTAAAATATATTTTGATTTGTTTAACACTTTTTTGGTTACTACATGATTACATATGTGTTATTTCATAGTTTTGATGTCTATTATTCTTCAATGTAGAAAATAGTAAAAATAAAGAAAAATCCTGGAATGACTAGGTGTATCCAAACTTTTGACTGGTACTGTATATATTTACAGTATGCGTGTTGAAGATGATTCATGCAATATCCCTTCTTCTTACTGGCAGTATCATATGGAAAGTCTTCATAGTGGATAACTCACTTTGTTTCCTTTCTCCCGCAGCATTTTCAGGTCAGCTTTACACTCCTCAAGCTCATCAGTGATCGACTGCTTTTCCTGCTCGGTCCTCTCAAACTTCTCCTTCAGGTCTGACAGCTCGGTCCGGGTCTCTTCGTACTGAAAACAGAGAGGTTATAAATATTACAGGGCATTCATAAAACATGCATAGAGCAACCGTAAGGCTTCTGTTTCAAATTGGATAAAAATGGGGGTTGTAAAAGTCCAGGCCCTCTTCAAATACTTTGAACATACATCCTTCCTTCCTCCCTTCCGTGAAGTGACCACTGGGCTAACAAGATAGGATTGTGATCATTCTGGGTTCCATTATATACTGTAGCTTTTATAGCCTATCCAGTCATGTCAGATCATAGATCAGGGATTACTTCAAGGAAGGGAGGAAGACAGCGTGCGCATCCTCTGTGCCCACCTCTCTCTGCAGGTCCTTGGTGCGGCCGTCTGACTGGTCCAGCTGGCTCTGAAGCTTGGTGTTATCCTGCTGGTGCTGCTCCTGCTGGGCCCCCAGCCTCTTCTCCATCTCCCCCTGAGAGAGCTCCAGGGCCTTCAGAATGCTGCTCAGCTCAGCACTCTGGGCACATGAGCTGGGAGAGAGAGGGGTAGAAAGAGAGATGAAGAAGAAGAGAGACCGAGAGAGAAGGAGAAAGATAGAGAGACAGAGGTCAGGAACAGTGTTACTGTATATGAATGATATGTAGCCCAATGTATTCTAATTGTGACCATTTCAATGTCAAATGTATTGGTCTGTTAATTTTATTTATTTTTCTATTTATTTATTTCACCTTTATTTAACCAGGTAAGCCAGTTGAGAACAAGTTCTCATTTACAACTGCGACCTGGCCAAGATAAACCAAAGCAGTGCGATAAAAACAACAACACAGAGTTACATATGGGGTAAACAAAACATAAAGTCAAAAATACAAACAGAAAATATATATACAGTGTGTGCGAATGTAGTAAGTTATGGAGGTAAGGCAATAAATAGGCCATAGTGCAAAATAGTTACAATTTCGTATTAACACTGGAATGATAGATGTGCAAAAGATGATGTGCAAATAGAGATACTGCGGTGCAAATTAGCAAAATAAATAACAATATGGAGATGAGGTAGTTGGGTGGGCTAATTTCAAAATGGCTGTGTACAGGTGCAGTGATCGGTAAGCTGCTCTGACAACTGACGCTTAAATTTAGTGAGGGAGATAAGAGTCTCCAGCTTCAGAGATTTTTGCAGTTCGTTCCAGTCATTGGCAGCAGAGAACTGGAAGGAATGGCGGCCAAAGGAGGTGTTGGCTTTGGGGATGACCAGTGAGATATACCTGCTGGAGCGCAGACTACGGGTGGGTGTTGCTATGGTGACCAGTGAGCTAAGGTAAGACGGGGATTTGCCTAGCAGTGATTTATAGATGACCTGGAGCCAATGGGTTTGGCGACGAATATGTAGTGAGGGCCAGCCAACAAGAGCGTAAAGGTCACAATGGTGGGTAGTATATGGGGCTTTGGTGACAAAACGGATGGCACTGTGATTGACTACATCCAATTTGCTGAGTAGAGTGTTGGAGGCTATTTTGTAAATGACATCGCCGAAGTCAAGGATCGGTAGGATAGTCAGTTTTACGAGGGCATGTTTGGCAGCATGAGTGAAGGAGGCTTTGTTGCGAAATAGGAAGCCGATTCTAGATCTAACTTTTGATTGGAGATGCTTAATGTGAGTCTGGAAGGAGAGTTTACAGTCTAACCAGACACCTAGGTATTTGTAGTTGTCCACATACTCTAGGTCAGACCCGCCGAGAGTAGTGATTCTAGTCGGGTGGGCGGGTGCAAGCAGCGTTCGGTTGAAGAGCATGCATTTAGTTTTACTAGTGTTTAAGAGCAGTTGGAGGCTGCGGAAGGGGTGTTGTATGGCGTTGAAGCTCGTTTGGAGGTTTGTTAACACAGTGTTCAATGAAGGGCCAGATGTTTACAAAATGGTGTCGTCTGCATAGAGGTGGATCCGAGCTTCACCAGCAGCAAGAGCAACATCATTGATATACACAGAGAATAGAGTCGGCCCGAGAATTGAACCCTGTGGCACCCCCATAGAGACGGCCAGAGGTCCAGACAACAGGCCCTCCGATTTGACACATTGAACTCTATCTGAGAAGTAGTTGGTGAACCAGGCGAGGCAGTCATTAGAGAAACCAAGGCTATTTAGTCTGCCAATAAGAATGCGGTGGTTGACAGAGTCGAAAGCCTTGGCCAGGTCGATGAAGACGGCTGCGCAGTACTGTCTTTTATCGATCGCGGTTATAATATCGTTTAGGACCTTGAGCGTGGCTGAGGTGCACCCATGACCAGCTCGGAAACCGGATTGCATAGCGGAGAAGGTACGGTGGGATTCAAAATGGTCGGTGATCTGTTTGTTAACTTGGCTTTCAAATACTTTCGAAAGGCAGGGCAGGATGGATATAGGTCTGTAACAGTTTGGATCTAGAGTGTCACACCGTTTGAAGAGGGGGATGACCGCGGCAGCTTTCCAATCTCTGGGGATCTCAGACGTTACGAAAGAGAGGTTGAACAGGGTAGAAATAGGGGTTGCGACAATTTCGGCAGCTAATTTTAGAAAGAAAGGGTCCAGATTGTCTAGCCCAGCTGATTTGTAGGGGTCCAGAGCTGGTGGCCGGGGTAGTGGTAGCCAGGTGGAAAGCATGGCCAGCCGTAGCAAAATGCTTGTTGAAATTCTCGATTATTGTAGATTTATCGGTGGTGACAGTGTTTCCTAGCCTCAGTGCAGTGGGCAGTTGGGAGGAGGTGCTCTTATTTTCCATGGACTTTACAGTGTCCCAAAACTTTTTGGAGTTAGTGCTACAGGATGCAAATTTCTGTTTGAAAAAGCTAGCCTTTGCTTTCCTAACTGATTGTGTATATTGGTTCCTGACTTCCCTGAAAAGTTGCATATCGTGGGGGCTGTTCGATGCTAATGCAGTACGCCACAGGATGTTTTTGTGCTGGTCAAGGGCAGTCAAGTCTGAGGAGAACCAGGGGCTATATCTGTTCTTAGTTCTGAATTTTTTTAATGGGGCATGCTTATTTAAGATTGAGAGGAAAGCACTTTTAAAGAACAACCAGGCATCCTCTACTGACGGAATGAGGTCAATATCCATCCAAGATACCCGGGCCAGGTCAATTAGAAAGGCCTGCTCGCTAAAGTGTTTTAGGGAGCGTTTGACAGTGATGAGGGGTGGACGTTTGACCGCGGACCCATTACAGACGCAGGCAAAAAGGCAGTGATCGCTGAGATCCTGGTTGAAGACAGCGGAGGTGTATTTAGAGGGTACATTTGTCAGGATGATATCTAGATGCCCATGTTTACAGATTTAGGGTTGTACCTGGTAGGTTCGTTGATAATTTGTATGAGATTGAGGGCATCTAGTTTAGATTGTAGGTTGGCCGGGGTGTTAAGCATATCCCAGTTTGTGTGTGTGTGTATGTGTGTGTGTGTATATGTGTGTGTGTGTGTGTGTGTGTGTCGGTGTGTGTGTGTGTGCGCACGAAAGAAAGAGTCAAAGATAACAGGGGATTAGAGTAAGGGGGAGTGTGAGAGCGGCAGAGACATACTGGGATAATTTTTGAGTTGAGTTGTGCACCATCAAATCAGTGTTTGATGTTTATGCACAGATGTTCTTGCCAGTTGTGTTTCAGACTACTGACTGACCTGGCCAAATCCTTCTCTAGCTCCTTTTGCTTCTTCAACATGGCCTCTTTCTCTGAGCGCATGACAGCACTCTCACTCTGTAGGTTCTCCTTCTCCTTCTGGTGAGCCCTGAGCAGTTCCTCCTTCTCCGCCCTGAGGGCAGCACACTCCTTCTGGTGTTTATTCAGCACTTCCTGTTTCTCTGAGCGCAGGGATGACACCTCCCTCTGGAGGTTGGTGCACTCCCTCTGCATAGACTCCAGTTCACCTGCTGTAGAAAACCATAGGGACCCTCAGACATGGCAGTATATCACAGCGTGGTTGATAGTCTGTTTCTGCTTCAGTTAACTCCTTGATACTTTCAGTCAAATTATTTAGTCAATGTCTATTCTGGGCTGATTAGCTGCCCAAACTAAGTTGATGTGGACATACTTTCACATGAATGCAACTGTGAAGCAACTTTTTGTACAAATGCTTTATAAATCACATATATAATGCTCATTATTACAGATCAACATTGTGTGTACAGCATATCAATATTTTTTATGTATTTTCTATGCACTGTTTATGTAGTACCTTGTGACTCGGCAGCCTTCTGCCACTGCTTGCTCTGCTGCTGTAGGTCACCTTGCAGGCCTTTCATCTCACGCTCGTACTTGCTGGCTGTCTGTCGCCACTTCTCCATCTCCTTGGAGACGGTTGCTAGGTTACCCTGGACTGTAGAGACCTCCCGCTTCCAATCGGCGGTGGCAGCATCAAGGGCGCGACGCAGCGTCTTCACTTCTTCTCGGGATCTGTGCAGTTCATCTTGTGAACTCAGGGAGGCGCTGTCTTTCTGCTCTCTGAGGACCCCCAGCTCGTCCTGTAGCTGTCGCAGCTGGCCTGTTCACACAGAAGACAGTGGACATTTTTAAGGATGAGAAGGGTTATATCAGGATCGGTCCCAGTAAGCAAAATGACGTTGAAAATACGTATTTCCAGACATTGAAGTTAGGTTCAATTTAGGTTCTGAATGAAAGGTGAAAAGGTATTTTCCATGTTTAAAATACATATTTTCCAGAACATTGAAAAGGCATATTTTCCAAACATAAAAAAATACATATTTTCGGGACATTGAAATCAGGTCAATTTTCTGTTTACATTTTTTTGCAGATGCTCTTATCCAGAGCGACTTACTGGAGCAATTAGGGTTAAGTGCCTTGCTCAAAGGCACATCGACAGATTTCTCACCTAGTCGGCTCGGGATTCAAACCAACAACCATTCAGTTACTGGCCCAACGCTCTTAACCGCTAGGCTACCTGCCGCCCTTGAACTATTGCTTCAAATCAAATAAAATAAAATGTTATTTGCCACATGCGCCGAATACAACAGGTGTAGACATTACCGTGAAATGCTTACTTACAGCCCTTAACCAACAATGCATTAATTTTTTTATAAAAAAAGTCAAATAAAACAACAACAACAAAAAAGTATTGAGAAAAAAAGAGCAGAAGTAAAATAAAATAACAGTAGGGAGGCTATACACAGGGGGGTACCGGTGCAGAGTCAATGTGCGGGGGCACCGGCTAGTTGAGATAGTTGAGGTAATATGTACAGTGAGGGAAAAAAGTATTTGATCCCCTGCTGATTTTGTAAGTTTGCCCACTGACAAAGAAATGATCAGTCTATAATTTTAATGGTAGGTTTATTTGAACAGTGAAAGACATCCAGAAAACGCATGTCAAACATTTTATAAATTGATTTGCATTTTAACGAGGGAAATAAGTATTTGACCCCCTCTCAATCAGAAAGATTTCTGGCTCCCAGGTGTCTTTTATACAGGTAACGAGCTGAGATTAGGAGCACACTCTTAAAGGGAGTGCTCCTAATCTCAGTTTGTTACCTGTATAAAAGACACCTGTCCACAGAAGCAATCAATCAATCAGATTCCAAACTCTCCACCATGGCCAAGACCAAAGAGCTCTCCAAGGATGTCAGGGACAAGATTGTAGACCTACACAAGGCTGGAATGGGCTACAAGACCATCGCCAAGCAGCTTGGTGAGAAGGTGACAACAGTTGGTGCGATTATTCGCAAATGGAAGAAACAAAATAACTGTCAATCTCCCTCGGCCTGGGGCTCCATGCAAGATCTCACCTCGTGGAGTTGCAATGATCATGAGAACGGTGAGGAATCAGCCCTGAACTACACGGGAGGATCTTGTCAATGATCTCAAGGCAGCTGGGACCATAGTCACCAAGAAAACAATTGGTAACACACTACGCAGTGAAGGACTGAAATCCTGCAGCGCCCGCATGGTCCCCCTGCTCAAGAAAGCACATATACAGGGCCGTCTGAAGTTTGCCAATGAACATCTGAATGATTCAGAGGAGAACTGGGTGAAAGTGTTGTGGTCAGATGAGACCAAAATCGAGCTCTTTGGCATCAACTCAACTCGCCGTGTTTGGAGGAGGAGGAATGCTGCCTATGACCCCAAGAACACCATCCCCACCGTCAAACATGGAGGTGGAAACATTATGCTTTGGGGGTGTTTTTCTGCTAAGGGGACAGGACAACTTCACTGCATCAAAGGGACGATGGACGGGGCCATGTACCGTCAAATCTTGGGTGAGAACCTCCTTCCCTCAGCCAGGGCATTGAAAATGGGTCATGGATGGGTATTCCAGCATGACAATGACCCAAAACACACGACCAAGGCAACAAAGGAGTGGCTCAAGAAGAAGCACATTAAGGTCCTGGAGTGGCCTAGCCAGTCTTCAGACCTTAATCCCATAGAAAATCTGTGGAGGGAGCTGAAGTTTCGAGTTGCCAAACGTCAGCCTCGAAACCTTAATGATTTGGAGAAGATCTGCAAAGAGGAGTGGGACAAAATCCCTCCTGAGATGTGTGCAAACCTGGTGGCCAACTACAAGAAACGTCTGACCTCTGTGATTGCCAACAAGGGTTTTGCCACCAAGTACTAAGTCATGTTTTGCAGAGGGGTCAAATACTTATTTCCCTCATTAAAATGCAAATCAATTGATAAAATTTTTGACATGGGTTTCTCTGGAGTTTTTTGTTGATATTCTGTCTCTCACTGTTCAAATAAACCTACCATTAAAATTATAGACTGATCATGTCTTTGTCAGTGGGCAAACGGACAAAATCAGCAGGGGATCAAATACTTTTTTCCCTCACTGTACATGTGGGTAGAGTTAAAGTGACTATGAATAAATAATTCACAGAGTAGCAGCAGCGTAAAAATATGGGGTGGGGGGGTGGGGGCAGTGCAAATAGTCCGGGTAGCCATGATTAGCTGTTCAGAAGTCTTATGGCTTGGGGGTAGAAGCTGTTGAGAAGCCTTTTGGACCTAGAGTTGGCGCTCCGGTACCGCTTGCCGTGCGGTAGCAGAGAGAACAGTCTATGACTAGGATGGCTGGAGTCTTTGACAATTTTGAGGGCCTTCCTCTGACACCGCCTGGTATAGAGGTCCTGGATGGCAGGAAGCTTGGCTCCAGTGATGTACTGGGCCGTACGCACTACCCTCTGTAGTGCCTTGCGGTCAGAGGCCGAGCAGTTGCCATACCAGGCGGTGATGCAACCAGTCAGGATGCTCTCGATGGTGCAGCTGTATAACTTTTTGAGGATCTGAGGACCCATGCCAAATCTTTTCAGTCTCCTGAGGGGGAATAGGCTTTGTCGTGCCCCCTTCATGACTGCCATGGTGTGTTTGGACCATGATAGTTCGTTGGTGATGTCGACACCAAGGAACTTGAAGCTCTCAACTTGTTCCACTACAGCCCCGTCGATGAGAATGGGGGCGTGCTCAGTCCTCTTTTTTTTCCTGTAGTCCACAATCATCTCCTTTGTATTGGTCACGTTGAGGGAGAGGTTGTTATCCTGGCACCACACGGCCAGGTCTCTGACCTCCTCCCTATAGGCTGTCTCATTGTTGTCGGTGATCAGGCCTACCACTGTTGTGTTATCGGCAAACTTAATGATGGTGTTGGAGTCGTGCCTGGCCATGCAGTCATGGGTGAACAGGGAGTACAGGAGGGGACTGAGCACACACCCCTGAGGGTCCCCCGTGTTGAGGATCAGCGTGGCAGATGTGTTGTTACCTACCCTTACCACCTGGGGGCGGCCCGTCAGGAAGTCCAGGATCCAGTTGCAGAGGGAGGTGTTTAGTCCCAGGATCCTTAGCTTAGTGATGGGCACTATGGTGTTGAACGCTGAGCTGTAGTCAATGAATAGCATTCTCACGTAGGTGTTCCTCTTGTCCAGGTGGGAAAGGGGAGTGTGGAGTGCAATAGAGATTGCATCATCTGTGGATCTGTTGGGGCGGTATGCAAATTGGAGTGGGTCTAGGGTTTCTGGGATAATGGTGTTGATGTGAGCCATGACCAGCCTTTCAAAGCACTTCATGGCTACAGACGTCAGTGCTACGGGTCGGTAGTCATTTAGGCAGGTTATCTTAGTGTCCTTGGGCATGGGGAATATGGTAGTCTGCTTGAAACATGTTGGTATTACAGTCAGGGACATGTTGAAAATGTCAGTGAAGACACTTGCCAGTTGGTCAGCACATGCTTGGAGTACACGTCCTTGTAATCCATCTGGCCCTGCGGCCTTGTAAATGTTGACCTGATTAAAAGTCTTACTCACATCGGATACGGAGAGCGTGATCACATAGTCATCCGGAACAGCTGGTGCTCTCATGCATACTTCAGTGTTGCTTGCCTCGAAGCGAGCACAGAAGTGGTTTAGCTCGTTTGGTAGGCTTGTGTCACTGGGCAGCTCGCGGCTGTGCTTCCCTTTGTAGTCTGTAATAGTTTTCATGCCCTGCCACATCCGACGAGCGTCAGAGCCGGTGTAGTATGATTCAATCTTAGTCCTGTATTGACTCTTTGCCTGTTTGATGGTTCGTCGGAGGGCATAGCGGGATTTCTTATAAGCGTTTGGGTTAGAGTCACGCTCCTTGAAAGCGGCAGCTCTACCCTTTAGCTCAGTGCGGATGTTGCCTGTAATCCATGGCTTCTGGTTGGGGTATGTACGTACGGTCACTGTGGGGACGACATCATCGATGCACTTATTGATGAAGCCAGTGACTGATGTGGTGTACTCCTCAATGCTATCTGAAGAATCCCGGAACATGTTCCAGTCAACTAGCAAAACAGTCCTGTAGCTTAGCATCTGCGTCATCTGACCACTTTTTTATTAACCGAGTCACTGGTGCTTCCTGCTTTAGTTTTTGCTTATAAGCAGGAATCAGGAGGACAGAGTTATGGTCAGATTTGCCAAATGGAGGGCGAGGGAGAGCTTTGTATGCGTCTCTGTGTGTGGAGTAAAGGTGGTCTAGAGTTTTTTTTCCTCTGGTTGCACATTTAACATGCTGGTAGAAATTAGGTAGAACGGATTTAAGTTTCCCTGCATTAAAGTCCCCAGCCACTAGGAGTGCTGCCTCTGGATGAGCGTTTTCCTGTTTACTTATGGCCTCATAGAGCTCATTGAGTGCAATCTTAATGCCAGCATTGGTTTGTGGTGGTAAATAGACAGCTATGAAAAATATAGATGAAAACTCTCTTGGTAAATAGTGTGGTCTACAGCTTATCATAAGATACTCTACCTCAGGTGAGCAAAACCTTGAGACTTCCTTAGTATTTGATTTTGTGCACCACCTGTTGTCATCTAATTTAGTTTCAAATGATTGAACATTGGCTATTAGGATTGATGGAAGAGGCAGTTTACTCGCTCGCCGTCGTATCCTTACAAGGCACCCCGACCTACGTCCACAATATCTCTGTCTCTTTCTCCTGCGAATGACAGGGATTTGGGCCTTGTCGGGTGTCTGTAGGATTTGCTTCGCGTCCGACTCGTCGAAGAAAAAATCTTTGTCCAATACGAGGTGAGTAATCGGTGTCCTGATATCCAGAAGCTCTTTTTGGTTATAAGAGACGATGGCAGAACCATTATGTACAGAATAAATTACAAATAACGCGAAAAAACACACATAATAGTACAATTGGTTGGAGGGCTGTAAAACGGCAGCCATCCTCTACGGCGCCATCACGAGAATGATGGCTCTAGTGGTTACGCTCAACAGCTCAGGAAACCTGGGCACCTGGAACAGGCTAATACTAACGTCAACACTTGCTACAGTGGTCCCTAACAGTAAGCCAGGCCTGGAGTGCCACCCCAGTATCCATGCCCCCCTCTCTGGCCAGGCAGAGCCCAGCTGTTGTGTCTGAAGGGCTGGGTGGGTCTGCCTTGGGGTCTGAAGCCATAGTGAGGAGGATGTGGAGGGCCATTATATACCGGGCCCCATCTTCTTCTGCTTGGGCACTGGAGGACACCACAAAGGAGCAGCTGGGTAGATCACCTGGTATGTGTGGTGATTTTGGAGGAAGGTAGGGGGAGGACGGGTTTCCCTGAGGCCACTATCCTCATCTGAGGATGAACCGGATTGGTAGTCAGAAGTCACCCTATCCACAGCGCTGGTCACCTTTTTAGTCACATCCTCATCACCATAACTGTTCTGAATGAAAGTTGAAAATACTTATTTTCCAGATGTTGAAAATATGTATTTTCCGTATGTTGAAATCAGGCTCATTTTTGGTTCTGAATGAAAGTTGAAAATATGTCATTTATAGACGTTTATGTTTGGGCCAAATCAAGGCTGGTCCAGACCGGACAAAATCTGAACCAAACATAGACGTCTATGATTGGTTCAGATTTGATCCAGACCAAAGACCAATGTCCGTGGATGTGGAAATCCAGTCTGGAACTGCACCAAAACAAGACGTCCAAAAGGTGTAGACTACAGTGTTGCCTGAAATTGAATTTTATGAATGCCCATCTATGAGGTAAGCCTACTGTTTGTAAAACACACAAAAAACGACTTCCAAAAGACGTCAGCTCGTGCTTACTGGGGTGTAGCCTACCATGTCAGCCCACAATGGAATTTATATCAGGGCCGGTCCTTGCCGTTTTGCCACCATAGGCAAGACCAAAAAATGCCCATCCATGTGAATGCCCATCCATGTGGTAGGCCCACCGTTTGTAAAACAGACCATTGCATTGATTATTTAAGCTCTGAATATCAGCTACGCAACTTTATCAGGAGTTATCACAAGCCTATTTGCAATGTGTTTACACTATGATCAGCTTCTCAAAAATTGACGGATACAAACTTGAAACCACTGATCATGACAATGGGGTGAAGCTCCTGGACAACAGTTGTGATTGTCCATTCCATATTGTCCATTTTACTTTGACCTGTCCTGTTTTTAGGATATGTTGTTTGTTAAATGTCAGCGCATTTTTTATTTGATTGATTGCCATTTAGGTTTGGCTATTTGATCGGAGAAACCTGTATGATGGAAAAAGTGTCTGTCTCATTACATTGTCATTCATTTTATCTCCAGCCTGTAGGCTACAGAAAAGGCCACATATTCTTTCTACCATATCCTATATCTGCTACATGATTTATGTTAGATAATTATTTTGACAGAACGTTGGTGGAGCACTGCAGAGATGCGTCTTTCCAACAGCACCCTGGAGAGGCATGCTGGGAATGGACAAGCAAAATATTTTGCGCCTTAGCCTGTGGGCACTGCTTATCAAAGGGCGGCATCAGCGCTCACCTAAAAAGCCCATATGCCACTAGTTGAGAGAAATTGTCTTTATTTTTGGGTAGAATTACGTGAGGGTTTTATGTGTAGTTGGAGGTGCGTCTTGGTCAGTTCAGCTCAGAAAATGCCGCCTTCGACAATCTGCCGCCATAGGTTGCCGCCTAATGAGGGGGCCGGCCGTGGGTTATTTCATTAACTGGGTGCAGAAGGGTGATACACATGATGGGTGATGGGGGGGGGGGGGGGGGTATTGTGCAGTGAAGCTCTCTCTATCTCACAGGACTGAACCAACAACACAACTACACACAAACTTGAACCACATATACAGTTGCCTAGATTCATGAACAGACACGCATACAAACAAAAACCCAGCTCTACCCACACACATTCCTGCACATTTCTCACACACCCCAAAATTAATTGTAGTAAGGAAGATCCTTACTACAAACAACACACACACTAAGGCCCATAGCTACCGTGTAGGAGTTTCATCTGTTTTGCAGACTCGTCAGCTTGCTGCTTGTTGGCTCTCCTCTCCTCCTCCAGGACACCTGCAATGTATGACACAAATAATACATTAAGTTAACTTCTCTAACTGAGAACATTCACTGCTGCAGCTGTTGTGTGTGCTTGTGCCTTTTACTTGATACAGTATTGGGTAATGACTGTAAGTCGCTTTGGATAAAAGCGTCTGCTAAATGGCATATATTATTATTATATTATAATCCACTGTTGTGTGAGTGTCATTCCCAAAGCTTTTCCATTACCTTGTAGTTCCATGCATTTCAGTTTTCCTGTGTTGGAGAGCTCGTGGGCCTCATGAAGCTCCTCGTTCAGATGCTTGATGACCTTCTCTGAGTCACTTGTTCCCATGTTGGATCGATTCATCTCATCTGGCAAAGGAATGGAGGTAAATACAGTGTTCGGCAGAGGACAGACCAACATGACAGGGTGGAGACTGTTGAGCTGCACTTACAGCGCATTTGACTTCTTCCCAAAATATTTTACGTTACAGCCTTATTCTAAAATTGATTAAATTGTTATTTTTTTCCCTCATCAATCTACACACAATACCCCATAATGACAAAGCAAAAACAGGTTTTTAGAATTTTTTGCAAATGTATAAAATATAAAAAACTGAAATATCATATTTACATAAGTATTCAGACCCTTTACTCAGTACTTTGTTGAAGCACCTTTGGCAGCGATTACAGCCTCAAGTCTTCTTGGGTATGACGCTACAAGCTTGGCACACCTGTATTTGGGGAGTTTCTCCCATTCTTCTCTGCAGATCCTCTCAAGCTCTGTCAGGTTGGATGGGGAGCGTCGCTGCACAGCTATTTTCAGGTCTCTCCAGAGATGTTCGATCAGGTTCAAGTCCGGGCTCTGGCTGGGCCACTCAAGGACATTCAGAGACTTGTCCCGAAGCCACTCCTGCATTGTCTTGGCTGTGTGCTTAGGGTTGTTGTCCTGTTGGAAGAAGAACATTCACCCCAGTCTGAGGTCCTGAGCGCTCTGGAGCAGGTTTTCATCAAGGATATCGCTGTACTTTGCTCCGTTCCCCCTATCCTGACTAGTCTCCCAGTCCCTGCTGCTGAAAAACGTCCCCACAGCATGATGCGCCAACACCATGCTTCACTGTAGGGATGGTGAAAGGTTTCCTCCATATGTGACGCTTGGCAATCAAGCCAAAGAGTTCAATCTTGGTTCCAAACTTCTTCCATTTAAGAACAATGGAGGCCACTATGTTCTTGGGGACCTTCAATGCTGCAGATATGTTTTGGTACCCTTCCCCAGATCTGTGCCTCGACACAATCCTGTCTCGGAGCTACAGACAATTCCTTCAACCTCATGGCTTGGTTTTTGCTCTGACATGCACTGTCAACTGTGGGACCTTATATAGCCAGGTGTGTGCCTTCCAAATCATGTCCAATCAATTGAATTTACTACAGGTGGACTCCAATCAAGTTGTAGAAACATCTCAAGGATGATCAATGGAAACAGGATGCACCTAAGCTCAATTTCGAGTCTCATAGCAAAGTAGTTATGTAAATAAGGTATTTCTGTTTTTTATTTCTAAAACCTTGTTTTCACATTATTGGGTATTGTGTGTAGATTGAAGAGGGGAAAAAACGATTTAATCAATTTTAGAATAAGGCTGTAGTCAAGGGGTCTGAATACTTTCCGAATGCACATACAGTAGGGGCAAATGAGGACAAATATTCTTACAAATGTATAGATGACTGACATTAGCCAGTGTAGTTCAACATGTGGTCTGGTACTTTCTGTGACCCTTGTTAGGCCTTTGCGAGATTCCAAAGCTAATGTCAAACTTGACTGAATGTCTGACTCTCTGGACTTTTTTGCCTCCCCACTCCCTGCCAACAGATTAAATTTAGCCATGGATGAAATGTGAGATAATTTCCCAAGACAACCAAAAATGGGACTTTTACATAAACTAATTACATCCCAAAAATAGACTAATTAATAATGTCATCTGAACTCACATATAGGTGTCCCCTTATATTAGTGGGCACTTATAGTAGTCAAGCCCTGTGATGTACCCTCAAAACAATCACATCTCTCACAGTTTCAAAGCCTGTGCACCTTAAATGGAGATATCAGAGGGCTATGACATCACTGTGGCAGACACTGTATCAGTGCAGAAACTAACAATATGGGTGTTTCAGATAACAGACATGCACACACAACCTCTCACACTCGCTAGCTCATTTAAATACACACGTGCAAACGTTGCTGTGGAATATTAGCTTTGACATCAAACCAGAGAACTAATCAGAGATGTTAGTTATGCTAATAAATGTCCATAAACGAAGCAGTGTTTAGAGTCTGCTGGAGGCTGGTGCCCCCCCCCCCCCCCCCCCCCCCCCGCCCCCCCGCCCCCCCGCTCAGGCACATGACCTCCTGCTGTGTGTGAGGACAGGGAGGATTGCTCTGGCCTCTATCTGAGAGAGAGAGTGTGTTTGTGTGTGCGTGTGTGTGTATGTCTGTAAATAGCTAAATGAGCATGAGAGAAACTGAGAGAGATAGCAAGAGAGAGGGAAAGAGAGAGAGGCTGTGTGTGTGAGAATGTGTCTAATAGAGACAGGATGTCTTAGAGCAGGGGTGTCAAACATACGGCCTTCCTTGCAACAACAAAAACTAATAAAAAACTCTATATACTATAAAATAACTAAAACCAAATCGAAACTGTGTAGAAATTATAATGGACCTACCATACCGTTTCTTGACTGTGTTCAGCTCGCTAATAATCACCGAAATGAAAGCTAGACAGTCAGGGAGCTTAGAAAATTCAAAAAACGGTTAAGGACTATTTTATGCAAATTTTGACAGCGAGGAAATATAACAAATTTTCAGTGCGGCCCTCTGGACCTCGTTGAAAACCAAATGCGGCCCCCGGAGAAACATTTGTTTGACACCCCTATGTTAAAGGTTTATCTTCACTGACACACCGTGGTCGGCCATTACTTCTTAGGATATTTGGTGTCATCAAATGATGCCGGATGAAAAAACACAACCATGGAATATTCCTTTCTGCATCTAAAAATATCTCTCATACTTGCTGGTTCGTCGACCATTATATTGCCTCATAGGCACCACAGAATGAACATAATGAGAATCCTTCTAACCCTTTTTCTATTTTTACATCTCATCATGCTAAAGGGTATAGCTGTCATGCTCCATCTTCCCTAATGTCTAAACCTGTTACCATTGAAAGTGGCAGCCATTCAAAACTGAGTCAGAGTCATCATGATTCCCTGACCTGTACTGTATTTGTATACATTTACACTCACAAAAAAATGCCTGATGCTTTGGATTACATTTACATCATTTAGCAGACGCTCATATCCAGAGCGACTCACAGTTAGTGAGTGCATACATTTTTCATACTGGCCTCCCGTGGGAATCGAACCCACAACCCTGGCGTTGCAAGCGCCATGCTCTACCAACTGAGCTACACGGAGCTACAGAATATACTGCAGGTGTAATGATTTGTATGTTAAAAGGATAACTTCGTTATAAAGCTCTGATGAGATTTACACTATAAACTGTGAAAAATGATAACCCTAAGGTAAAATGTGTTATTGTTGTTATGGTGAATAGCCAATGTGTTCTGTATAGCCTACGTAGCATTACTAATTAGTAGCATTACTAATTAATTGATCATGCACAATTGATTCACTCACAGACATGCCTCAGGAACATACACAAGCTACTCCAGTGTCCTCTCTCAAATGTTATTCTCTTGTTAGAATAGGTTGTCATTCCTGTCAACCTAAATGTCAATACTGTCATTTAACAGTCATTTAAGTTGATCCCTAATGTATTAGAGGCTCCTTCAGATTACGGTTTGATTCCACTTGAAACCAGAGAACTGTGGCCATAAGCACAATGCCTTATATAGCAATGTGAGCTCTTAAATGTCCTGTTTCCACACCCAGTCTTTCCTTCACAAAGTCTCCCTCTCTTTGACCCTTTCCTCCACACTCGGCAATGAGGTCTGGAATGACTTGCACAAGTCAGTAATAGAATAGGAGGTGACTGGTTAGAGACATCAGAACTGATCCAACAGATCCCGGTCAGTTACTACACTCTGTCCAATTACATGTAATAAGAATAAAGAGAGGGTTTGTGCTACCTTTAATGAGTGAGACCTTCATGGGTTCTTTTAGCTCCTGATGATCCATTTGCTTATCTGCAAAAAAGGATACATTCTCATTTCATATGAGTACACTGACTATGCAAACAGTTTGGGGTGAGAGATGAGCTAACTTGAGAATAAAATATTGACAAGATATCATAGCAGATGAAGAAATCAATAACATATGAAGCACAAGACTGAAAAATGTAATTGAATGTGAAATTAATGTGCATACAACATACATTGAGGACTTTATGAAGAGATGTTATATTACAATTCTATGAAATAAATTACAAAAGGATAATAATCTATAATAATAAAGCCAATATAATGCAAGTACATTACATTTCAAAACATATAATAATGTGATATTACCTCAGGTCAGGTGTCCTCTGCTATTATCCGTGCTGGGGCTACAGCAGTCCCTGGCATGAAGAATTATTTCCAACTATCTGATTTTTCAGATGCGAAATGGAATAGTCCATCTGAAAAGGGGGAGATCAAATGCAATAACAAAGACTATCCATCAGGCTGCCAAGCTATTTTCCAAGGCATGTTAGAAAAAGAACCACTGGTACAGTAAGAATGACTGGTTGATTACCTTGAGGGTAGTCAAAACCTAACGATAGAGTTCACCCAGATCAAAACAATAATTGTCACAAATAGTCCCCCCTCTTCATGGTGGAGGGTCCCGGTCTTTCCACAGTAGGTCATGAATCTGACTAGGGCATCTCGGAAGCTGCAGCTGCATACTGAAACAGAGGGAGGTTTTGTTCAGGGAATGAGCTGCTCCCAGGCCAGTTGGTTCTGATGTAGAAACGGGGGCTTAGCCTAACAATAGGACCTTCCAATGTGAGATTGTGTGTGTGTGTGTGTGTGTGTGTGCCCTTGTTATGCCAAGTAGGGCACTGCCATTTCCCTTTAATTTAACTCCATGCTGACCATATGTATCCATATGGATAAATGATGCTGGAACATTTTGAGCTCTGAAAGGGGTACTGTTGACAATAAAAGCAGGACATAGAAACAGAAACAAATTATGTATGACATAATATAAACTGGTGTAATGTTAGAGGTGGATAATGTAATTAATACACTGAACTAATATAGTGTGACATTACAAAGGTTAGGAGGCTTTGCCAGAAGTTCAGAAAGGGACAGAATAATAAAAGAGATTATGCAAAACCACAGAGACTAATCTAGGAAATCCATGAATGAGGGAAACATACTGCCAGACAGTTCACTTCCCTGATACATGTGTAAATATTGTACTATAAATTGTGCCTTCCTGTATTATACTTATGCTAAAATATTGGATTATTTCTTATTGTTGTTGCATTGTCGAGAAGGAACCTGCAAGTAAGCATTTCATTGGACAGTGTATACCATGTGTATCCTGTACATACGACTAATAAAACTTGAAACTACACAGTCTCAAGGACAACCTAGAGAACTGTGACCAAAACAGAATGAAAAAATAAAACGTAAATACCCCCAGGGTAATACTGCCACTCTGGTGTGTGTGTGTGTGTCAACCAAATACTGTGACTTCCACAGAACAACAGCGTTTTTCCTCCTAGCACATGACCCAATGCCAATGGCTACTATTGCTGCTTTTAAACTGAATGGATACATTTTATCATCTATCTCCCGAGTGGTGCAGTGGTCTAAGGCACTGCATCGCAGTGCTAGCTGTGCCACTAGAGATCCTGGTTTGAATCCAGGCTCTGTCGTAGCTGGCCGTGACCGGGAGACCCATGGGGCGGTGCACAATTGGCCCAGTGTCGTCCAGGGTAGGGGAGGGAATGGCCAGCAGGGATGTAGCTCAGTTGGTAGAGCATGGCGTTTGCAACGCCAGGGTTGTGGGTTTGATTCCCACGGGGGGCCAGTATGAAAAAAATAAAAAAAATATGTATGCACTCACTAACTGTAAGTCGCTCTGGATAAGAGCATCTGCTAAATGACTAAAATGTAAATGTACAGATGAATAGAAATTAAGAAGGGAGTTAATCAAATATTTCCAACAGGGCCCAAAGTTTTTTCTGACCATGTGATGTGACCTGGAGTGGAGAAAATCTGGAACCTAATTAAAGGGTAGAACTAGGGCCCAGTTTGTTTTGGTCAGGTCATGTGGTAACCCTTAAACATTTTACTAAATCCATTGCTCTGTATTAGGCCCTGCCAGATCAAGAAATTCTCATCAATGTCCACTTTTAGTCACTTTATATTGTCTTGATACTGGAGACACAAAAATAGATGTTTTTATAGTTCCTGGAAGTATCCTGTGAGAAAAGGTAGAAAACCAAGGGAGGTAGAAAAGCAAGAGCGCTTTATACATAGGCCTACAGAATAGTATGTAAAAAAATATATAGGAAAAATAATAAGGTCACTTCAATTAATTTCCCAGTTGAACCGTTTGGGAGTGTTCCTATGATGAGATTTTGTAGTACTCTCGCTAGAAATATTCACAGGACAAAAAACTCAAGACTCTAGGTCATCTAAAAAAAAAAACTATCTTTTGATCCTTTCTTCAACAACCTAGATATCTTAATTAAACCACTACCAAAGCCTTTTCTTCTGTGCTAGTCGAGCAAGTGACAATAAGGTATCAATATTAGACAGAGGAAGAACAATTTCATATAGGCCTGCCTACCCCCTTTATTAGTGTCTTCATTCCAGCGCTCTCCACTGACCCCTGGCCTGAAGGCCCAGAATCATACTGCCCCCTTTCTCTTTCTCTCTCTACCCCCCCCCCCCCCCCTCCCCTCCTGTCTCTATGTCTTTCTCTCTCTCTCTTTGTCATGAAGTAGGGCCAGAGCATTGAGGCAACAACAATGAGGCCTATACTGAATCCATCCGTTGGCTACTGTAGCCTACACTATGAATTTACTTACCTCATGTTTCAAACCTGTCAATCCTGTGACCAGTGCAATGTTGGCCAATTCAGGCAAAGATAAAGGTAATGTGTTTTCACACTTTGTCCCTTTCAGACCATTTTTGTGAACTCAGTGCGGTTTGCTTAATTTTTTTGTGCAGTGTGAATCTCCAAAGGAACTCAGACACCCCCAAAAGAGCCCCGAAGTGAACCGAACTGAGACCATCTCGAGAGGTGGTCTGAGTTCGGTTCGCTTGAATTCCGTGATCCGGTTCCCTTTCTTAGGGTAATGTGAACACAAAGCTCCCCAGGTTCACTTGTCATTATTCCCGCACCACACACTAGACTACTGCAACACCATTTCCCCTGCCATAACCCCTCACATTGGTGCCACAAACGAGAGAAGATGATGATATGCAGGTTCGCGAAAACAAAAAGTGTGCTGTTTTTGGATATTGATTAGCGATTGTCAGTGGTGTTAAGTACTTAAGTAAAAATACTTAAAAGTACTACTTAATAATTTTTGGGGGGTATCTGTACTTTACTATTTATTTTTTTGACTACTTTTACTTTTTCTTCACTACATTCCTAAACAAAATTATGTACTTTTTACTCCATACATTTTCCCTGACACCCAAAAGTACTCGGTACATTTTGAATGATTAGCAGGACAGGAAATGGTTCAATTCACGCACTTATCAAGAGAACATCCCTGGTCATCCCTACTGCCTCTGATCTGGCGGACTCACTAAACACGTGCTTCGTTTGTAAATTATGTCTGAGTGTTGGAGTGTGCCTCTGGCTATCCGTAAATTCAAAAACTAGAAAATTGTAATTTAAGGAATTTGAAATGATTTATACTTGTACTTTTACTTTTGATACATAAGTATATTTTTGCAATTACATGTACTTCGGATACTTAAGTATATTTAAAACCAAATACTTTTGGACTCAAGTATGTATTTTACTGGGTGACTTTCACTTTTACTTGAGTCATTTTCTATTAAGGTATCTTTACTTTTACTCAAGTATGACAATTGGGGACTTTTTCCACCACTGGCGATTGTCAAGGATGCACAGAAATTCAGTTCAGATTATTTGTTTTCAATATGTGATCTATATTTTTATCAGCTAAGAGAGCTTCATAAACTGTTTATTCGATTGTGGGGTTTGAATAGTGTGAGAAGACAACAACATATTTGGTGAGAATCACAACATAGGGTACAAAATCAATTCTAGCTCAATTCTATTCTAGGGGCAGTAGCCTACATTGGGTGTACAATTTTCAATTATAGCATTATTTAATCTGCAGTTCTTATTTTGCTATTTATTCTGTAAAAAAAATTTTTTTACATGTTAATAGTATCTTCTGATTACAATTATTATGTCTCATCTTTTAACTAAATGCAATTTATTAACTTCAAAATATAGGTAGATATCTAGCTGTCTGATCACACGTTCTGATGGAATGGTTTGTCCTGCACTTTGTAAAAACCCTGAGTGCATTGAGTGAATGTTGGAAAAAGATATTGGTCCTTTCTAAACATAGCAATGTGAATGCAAATAGGACTCGGACCACAAAATAGGTGAAGTGAACTGGCAAGAGTTGAGTCCTCATTCAACGGCAAGTTCTCTTTAAAGAGGACTGAGATCGGTTATTTTAATGGGGACTATATGTGAAAACACCCTAAATTACGCAGCCTCTCACCATATTTTTATTTTGTTATTATGACTAACATGATTGTTTTTAGTTTTGCATAAGCTAGTTCTTATGCAATTCATGACACATAAAGGGATGTTCGAAAGCTCTGACACGTCGTGGGCGTTGCCGGTAATGGGCGTTACCTGTAATGTGTCGTCATGACTACGCGGTCTCATGGGAATGAGAGTTTACAAAAATGCCAGTGAGCTGATGGTGCTGGGAAGGAAGGAGGTAGTACCTAGCCTATTTCCTTAATCTATCCAGTAGTAGCAGACTCTCGAGCCGCAACACACCTATGAGAAGTCTACTAAAGTAGTGCCTGAAACAGGTGGTTTCTCCCTCGCACAGCTGCACACAACATATACGCTTTTTTTGTTTTGAGACGGACCGGCATCACCTCAAAATGAATTCGCTCTCAGCTTGGTTTTGGAGTGAGAGTTTCTGGCTTCCACCGAATGTTACTTGGGCGGAACTCGAGCACCCACCACCAGGACAGGAGTACCCCAGAGCTGGCCACCTACTCTCCTGCTTACCGCTGGCTTTTGGCGTGTTGGCTGTCAGGGTGTTATTTGAGAGGTAGGCTATGTAACAAAGTAACGTATATTGATTTGTCTTTGTAAACAAAATAATTCTGCATTTGATATGTATGTCGCATCATCAAAGATTTAGCGGTATAAACCAAGGCCAAGTCCTTGGCTAAACTGAGACTGTGTGTGTGTGTGTGTGCGCGCGCGCAGTCAGAGGAACTAATTAGCGAACTGCCCTTGGGCGGTGATTGGCCTATGAGGCATTGTTTTCTGATGATAGGTACCCGAAACTCTACTCTAGTCTATACAATTTAGACTATTGACACAAACACTGTGGAAAATATGAATAGTATGCTACTGTGTGTGTAGGCCAACAGTAGGCTACGAATAGCTTATGAGTATACAAATAGTATACAAAGTATATGGATCATAGGTGTCTTGTTTAACCTGAAGGGTAGCCTAATTTAGTTTTTGTTGTGCAACTGGCGTGAGAGAAGCAGTAACCCTTCTGGCTTCATTGACCTGTGTTCTATTAAACGCCATACAGTCACTTAGTAACCAGGCTTTGAGTAATCTCTGTAACCAATAAGTAAAATCTCGCGTGTAATTTGGTCAACTGCACTGATGCTTATCTTTGTAGAGGGACAAAGATCACCGCAGACTGACTGCTGCAAGTGACATGGCCATGGGATTATATGGTGTGCATCTCTAAAGTCTAAAATGGCTCTTCCTCTTTTTGTGTCCTTGGCCTCCCCTTTGACTGGTTTGATGTGTGTCAATATCCATCTGCTTTCTATTGACTATCCATATGATTTCAGATCATTGTAGATGAGGGTGAAGAGAGAAGGAATGGAAACACAAGATTATTGATGATATGCACTACTGATGTTCTCTTCTGCGTTCCAAGATAGAATTGCATGCTGGCTGTCTGCTTATCCAAATAGGTCATTTGAATTCAATGCATAGCAAGGCCTCTCCTGAACAGATGCTTTCTGAAATGTTAGCTGGACATTTGTTTAGGCCTAGGTAGTACATTGGATTGTGTGATAGGAAGGAAGTGAATGTTGTTTGAATGGGTCATAGAGGCAGTACACTGAGGTGAGAGAGGTCTTGTGATAGACCTCTGTTTGCTGGTTAGTGTATGTCTCACTCTCAGCAAGGAGCTTTCTCCTCCCGACCCAGCGCCCTCTCACATGACAGCTCATCAGCCTCCTCTGTTTAGAGTTAGTGCTACATTCCTCATCATACTCTCCCTTTGACTGTCTGTTTTCCTCCACTACACTTTCCCATTCTAACTCTCTTTCTATCTTACACACACACACACACACACACACACACTTCACATACAGTAAAGTTGTGGGTAAACTGTGAAAGCTCTGTCTGTTTGTGGAATACGCCCCTGGTGAAACCCATGGTCTTCTCTGCTGAGGTTTCTGCTTAGGAGTACTTTAGGTACTGTAGCCAGCTCTGTGTCCATGTTTAATATCGTTCTCTCTCTCTGTTGCTGTGTGTGTGTTTAGGCTAGTAGCCAAGCCCTGTGCCAACATACTTCAGATTCAGGCTGGAGTGAGCCGGCGAGCCCAGCCCAACGCTGTCCTGGAGAGGGTGTTTACATCCACAACGGTACTTAAAGCATGGGTCTCATGCGCTGCTGCTGGGTGGACAAATGCAGCATTGTGACTTGAAATGTTTCTTATGTTATCGCCCACGATGTAAAAGCAATTCACCACATGTAAATGAACTGGATGTTCTGTAATTGCAAGTGGATTAGTGGAAGTAAAAAAAATCAGTAGAAATGATAAAAATCAAACATATTGTACACTTATTCCATGCTGATGAACTTGATTTTTACTCGCTTGTCAGGGGAAAGTGTGATCAGATTTAGTTGGTTATTGTCCAATGCTAGTTAGCTCTGGTAGATGCCAGTCTGTTTTGGCTGTAGCCAACTTTCCCTTGACTTGTTTAGCAGGGCAACAATGTAGGGTTTTTGACTCTGGCTAAAACAGTGTCTCTGTCTCTCCTGCGCCATCGTCTTCCTCAGAGTCCAGACTCGCGGCGGGTCGAGGGGCTGTCTAAGCAGCTGGACTGGGATGTGCGGAAAGTCCAGAGATGGTTCCGACTCCGGAGGAACCAGGACAAGCCCAGTACTCTCACAAAGTTCTGCGAGAGCATGTAGGTTCTGAAAAGTCTTTATCAATCTAGATGCGCTAGCTACAGCATTGCTGTTCTGTTTATTTTATTTTATTTGTTTCCTTTGGTCTTTCTTTTGCGTCTAGGTGGAGGTTGACGTTTTATACCGGTATATTTACCTATGCGATTCGCTATCTGTGGGTGGTGAGTTGAATTGACTTATACTGCACTACACTGAATAACTTTAATATAATTCAAATACACTTTAAATTGAAAGGAGCCCTTTTTAAAATAGTTGTTACTATAGGAAAGAAAGTAACAAAAAGATAAACATGCTGACTATGCAGATCGCTTTCAAGAGGAAGTCATATTGATAAGCATTGTGTTATCCTCTTTGATTATCTTTGACATGTGCATGTCCTCCTCTAGTCTTCTTGGATGTGGGACACACGGCAATGCTGGTACAACTACCCATTTCAGGTGAAGGATCTACATACCAAGTACCTAAATACCATGATCATTCCTCTAAATAGTCAACAGATGAAGATTAAATTCCTAACCATAGGGGTTGTTCATGTTCTCAATATGGTCCGGTTTTGCTAAAGATACCATGTTATTGTTCTTCCTTGTTTCCACAGACGCTGAGTCCTGGCCAGTACAACTACTATGTAGCCGAGCTGGCCTTCTACTGGTCCCTCATGTTCTCCCAGTTCACAGACATCAAAAGGAAGGTGAGTCAGGTGACTGGGTTGGGGGGACGACGACTTGGAGTGGGGTAGATGGACTTGGAGTGGAGGGCAGACAGAAACTGCAGCGATTGTGCTCCCCTCTCTCAAAAACACTAATCCTACCACCTCTTCAGCCAGTGGCTTTGCTTCGTTCTAATTGGCCAATCTATTGTAGCTGGTATGCAAGCCATTTAAATCCACTTGATTTTCTGGAAAGTCTTTGGTCGTCTAGCCAGAATTGGAGCCAGTCTGTCCTGTTTTTGTTACTTAATTTCAGAGACACTTTAGTGTCACTCTAGATTAGCAAGTTTATTATTGTTTTTTTTATAGAAGGCCTACGATACTGTGTAAACTCTGATTAACAGGTTAGACGCAGCAGTGAGGTTCTGTAGAGGCATAGTTTGGGACAGGAGTTAATGTATGGAGCACTAGCCCAGAGTCCAATCCTACTGAGAGTAGACCTAATCCATTGTCACATGGGTGCTGCTGGAAGAGGTAGAATTACATTAGCACTGTGCTGTTCTCTGGTAGTGGGTCAAGGGGAAAGGAAGATTGTTATTTGTATCACTTAGCAAGTTTAGCATGTTATGAGGTTGTAAAGGTTTCCAATACTCCTATGTTTTACCCTAGCATCTTTGTACACCATTACAATTGCAAAGATCCTTAAGCAGGAGCAATAAAGACAAACACATTGCAAAATCATAAATCGTTTCAAGTTAAGAAAAGATCCTCAGTACATGTAATCTAGTTTAATATATAACTTAAATTATCTGGTGAAGTTGCTAGGAGATCATTAATCTTGTGTGGAAGAATTCTCATTGCCAAGCAGATGCAGCCTTTTCAAAAGCTGGTGACATTATCGTGTTGGGTATAATGGATCAGGTCAATGAACGTGTTGGAATGTTTAATAGACCAGGGTGTTGTGACCTTGGTTCCACTCACTCAGTGATTCTATGCACTTTATTGGCATGAAATGGGATGTGTGTAAATATCTCTCTCTCTCTCTCTGTGTTTGTTTGTTTACCTTCGTCCTCTGACAGGATTTCCTCATCATGTTTGTCCATCACCTGGCCACCATAACTCTCATCACCTTCTCCTACTGTAACAACATGCTGCGAATAGGCACTCTGGTCATGTGTGTCCATGATGCCTCCGACATCGTGCTGGAGGTAGATAAAAGATCAAGGGCCTATACCAGAGCCATGTATTTAGAGAGTTGGGCCAATGCGGTTTCTGCATTATGATACATTTATATAACACTTCAACATTCTATGGCAGGCATGTTAGCTCCTCATTAACATTACATGGGGAATATTTAAACAATGCTATGTAACTGAATGTCTAGAATTAGAACAATATTCAAAATTCTAAAAGTTGGCCTAACTCTATATATATGGCTCTGGCCTATACTATACTGTTTGTGTAGAGCTGTCTTTTTACTGGCTGAGGTGGTTTCACACCAAACTGAAATATAATGTATGGTCTATGTGGGTGTGAGAGTACAGGGTTTCACCCTGGCGTGTGTTTGCTCTGTTTGAACAGCTGTGTGCCCTACTGCTGCATTTAGCTAATACCTGTTTAACTGGAATCTGACTGTTTAACATGTCTGTTTACCAAGGTACAGCGAGAGAGGTGTCATTAAAGGAGAATTAAACATGTTTATGTTGGTTTGCTATCTGTACTCATGTGCTTATTCATTTCCTTCTCCCCAAGTTGGCCAAACTGGCCAATTATGCAAAGTACCAGCGGATTTGTGACACCGGCTTTGTAGTATTCAGCATCGTCTTCTTCATCACACGACTTGTCATCTATCCCTTTTGGTAAGGGGGGGTACATATTGAATTATGCAACAAGGCACAGAGCTGCGTTATCTAACTCCAGCCATTCTGTCCTCAGCACTATAGGATAGATGTATAATTAATTTGATTTCTATAAAAGGATTTGCCTTTTTTGGCGTCTCCTTGTGACGGTGCCCTAGTAACGTGTGTGCTTGGTGTGTGCGTGTGTTGAAGGATTATATACAGTGTGCTGGTGGAGAGCTGGGAGATCGTTGGTCCTTACCGGTCCTGGTGGCTGTTGAACGGCCTGCTTCTGGTCTTGCAGTCTCTTCATGTCTTCTGGTTCTACCTCATCGCTCGAATTGCCATCAAAGCCATATTCAAGGGCAAGGTGTGTATGTGTGTTTAACTTTACTCTGTCTGTGAATAATAGTGAACCTATGGTAGCAACAGTGATAGTTTGTGTAATATGCTCACATTGTAGTTGTGGACCTAAAAAGAAAAATTTGCCAATATCAAAACATTTCTCTTTTTACACAGACCATCTATTCAAGTTTAGGGAGGAAAAACAGTAATACGTTGATGATCTGATTCCTTGTATGATTCCTCCGCAGACTATTCATTATGTTACTGAGCACAAACTCTGTCCCTTTTAAAAGGTGGCGAAGGACGACCGTAGTGACATCGAGAGCAGCTCAGAAGAGGAGACGGACACCAATGTCAAGAGCAGGAACAAGTCACATCCCAACGGTAGCGAGCAATCACCAAAAAAAGACAACGGGACCAATGGCTTCGCCAAAGGTGGAACATAAGACCACTGAACACTGGGAGAGGTGATTATGAACTGGACACGGGGGTGGGGGGGGGTTCTGAAATGGATCCCCTCTGCTGTGTGCCACTTAAAATGGGCCCCGTCTCTGTTTAACTGAACTTCAACTCTTCTTTGACTTTCAGAAAACCAAACCCTCTCAGGGCTGGTGTGGGTGGTGAAGACGATGATACAATGGACAATGTTTGCTGCCTTGAGGACCTCTATTTATCACTGTGTGTTTCTTTGTATCAAGTTTACAACTTTGCCTTTGCTTATAGTGGAAGTAGGGGAGGAAAGTTTTCATAGACGTTTTACCGGTCAAAAACTGCTTCTTCTTCATTACTACAATGTCGTTTTGATAACTCACTTTTTTTACTTGGAGAGATAGCTTTATAGACAAAACCGGTGATATTTTAATGGTTGTAGGAGATTGTGTGCCTTCCTGAATATGCTGCCTCCCCTCATCTGAGGGGAAAAAATAAAGTAGAAATAATCTGTATTTCTCTCATTAAAAACATTTATTTGAACCAAATCATTAGTTAACATCTTTTGACAAACAAAATTATAGCAATGATACTCAAGTGACCTCATGAATGTGTTCACTATCAAACACAGTTCAGCCCCATGGCTGGTTTGAAGCCCATTGTCATGAAACTCTATAGTAGAAAGAATGGAGGGCTAGAACAAATGCTGTCAATGGATTTTTGTGGTGACATTAAAGGGTAATTTTTTTGTTAGTATTTGATTTTAGCACACTGGTCCATCATCTCAAACACGTCTTCACTGAAGTCGTTATACTGCAGACTGAAAGACAGGAAGGCAAATGTCAGAAGAACCCTTACACTTTTCACATGACACAAATTTCTCAACAGCAGTAGGAATTACGAAACATCTTAAACGTCTTTTGTGTGTGGTACAGAGGAGGCTGTGGAAGGAGCTATAGGAGGATGGGCTTATTGTAATGGCTGGAATGGATTTTTTTTGGAACCTATCAAACACAGCAAACATATGGAAACCACGTTTGACTCTTCCATTTATTTCATTCCAGCCATTACAATGAGCCTGTCCTCCTATAGCTCCTCCCACCAGCCTCCTCTGGTGTGGTACTATCAAAATGTAAATTGCACTGAACACTAATGCATGAATACTATTGTGTAGAAAACCAACAATACTACTACAATGTATCAGTGGAATCTGCCACTACTTGGCTCACTCACTTCATCTCCTGCATGGTGCGGCTATCCTGCATGACTTGGACCAGGGCTGGGACTGAGGTGTCAGTCAGACGGTTGTTTTTCAGGACCAGGCTCTTCAGGGAGCCACTGGCCCTCACCGCCACACTCAGGTCTCCAACACAGGCATCCGTCAGCTGGATCATCTCAACACTGTAACACACACACAATTATCTCAGTTTTGTCAAGGACTTGGCCTTGGTTTATACCTCAATCTTTGATGTGACATAGATATCACACACACAAAGTGAGTATTCAAGTGTTACACTGAGCCATAGCAAAGCAAAACCGGTCTGGCTTCACTTACTCCAGGTGCTCCAGCTTGCACCGTTTGTCTCCCAGTGCGACCCAGAGATGTTTGGCTCCTTCGTCTCCTATTTTGTTCAGGCCCACAGACAGTGTTCTCAGTCCAGAGGTCCCACTGCTCAGTAAGATGCCCAACTCCTTGAAGACCAGGGGAGTCAACTCACAGCGGACCAAGCTGCAACAGAAAACCCTAATTGGTTCTGATACAAAGGCATGAATGGTCTCGTTTCCAAGGGGGTCCCCAGACTACAACAGATAATACACAACAAGTATGCTGCGGACTGCGGTACCTCAGTTTCTCCAGTGGGCGTCCAGGCTTGCTGAGGGCCTTACACAGCTGCAGTGCCCCCTCCTGGCCCAACTCATTCACAGACAGATCCAGCTCAGTCAGCCTACAGCCATCTGACTGCAAGGCCTCAGCCACACCAGCACAACACGCAGCCGTCAACTCATTATCAAACAATCTGGCAAGGGGTAGAGCAGAGAGGGAATCAGGAGACATATCACATATCTCCATATCTGAGCAATGTGTTGTTTTTTATTTGTCCTTGAGACGTGAGTGAGCTGTTGTGACTATAATAACAGCATCCATTATCTGTCTGGTCCTTACATCAGGCTTTGCAGTTGGCAGCAGGGATATTGGAGAGCCTTGGCCAGCCAATCCACCCCCTGGTCGGTGAGGGTGTTCTGGGCCAGGTTCAGTATTCTCAACTCTGATTGGCCAGCGCACAGTGCAGTTGACAAGGCCTCCATGGACCCCCCCGTCAACTCACACATCGGTAGCCTGGACAAAACAAAGTCAACTAATTACAGGCTAATAATGATATTTGAACTGTCAATCATAGATGTATTCTTCTTCCAAAATGATACCATTACAATATCTGTGCTAGAGTACGTACTGAAGCTCCTGCAGTTTGCAGTAAGGGCTTCCCAGTGCTTGGCTCAGCTTCCTGAGCCCCTGGTCATGGAATGTATTCCCCCTCAGCTCCAACACGTGGAGATGGGATTTCTCCGAGGTCAGGACTGCCACCAGGTCCCCACAGCAAGCCTCTGTCAACCCGCACACTGGAAGTCTACAGAAACCAATCATCATCCATTTAGATACAACAAACAGACCAAGATACTTGACTATTATGTAATTCAATAGCATGGGCCAAATGCCAATATAAGCCTGTTATAAGGAAGTTATAATAGTGTTATAATTAAGTTTATGGCGTCATATTTTTTAAATGCTTCATATTCAGTGTATGAGTAGTATGGGACCTCGTCTTCAATAACCTATTGAAGTTGAGAACATTTTGAAATCGTAATTTACTGTAACACCGCCATCAATATTAGATTGTGCATTACATTTGAATGGCATGATGCAAACCCTGTATATGTCATATTCTGTGAAGTGAGATGGAACTCACTTTAATGTTTGTATGTTGCAGTCCCCAAGTCCTGTGCAAAGAACTTTGAAGCCTGTGTCACCCATGGGGTTGTAGGACATATCCAGCTCTGTGGTCCTTCCCTGGCTGAGGGCTGAGGCCAGGTGAGCGAGCGCCCCAGCACTGAGAGAGCTCTGAACCAGGCTGTGGACAAAACAGATGGAGAGATGTGCATGAGTATGCAGCTCTGGTGATGGTTTAAAGGGCAAATCCACAGTTGAAACAATAACAAAGCAGTCACCCCACCACTGTTGGTAAAAAGCTGAGGGATGGGGCTGGAGAAATGTAACCACTCAAATTCATAGACAAAGCTATGGATACAAGGACTGACCATCCATGATATCAAAATTATAGTTTTAACCATGTTTTGAGGTTAGTGTTTGTTTACAAACATTGGAGTAAAACAAGCTTATATTTGAGGTTCTGCTGGGGTGAGACAGTTGAACTAAAACCATGAGGCATTTATAAGTTATATTTTTCAAGAATCAATGGGTATATATCATTAATTTATAAGCCCTAAAATGAATGTAGCAACAGTGGATTTCCCCTTTAAGAACTGTTGAAATATTACAAAATGTGAACTTTTTGATACATAAAGGTTTTGGAATTAATTTATACAATGTAACCTACATACCACGCATACAGTAAATCACAATGTAATATGTCTCTTTCCACTATCTGGAGAGGAACAGTAATTACAGATCATTTGTTTTTACGACAGAAGTAATGTATAGCTGTAGAATAGTAGTGTAGCGATCCATGCTTATAAACCAGGGTCGCTACAGTAGCTACATCATTTGTTTGAGAATTTGTTTGGAAATTATTTGTATGTATGTGGTCCCACAGTGGTAGGATTCTGTTTTACTTTCTAGTTGCAGATGAGAGGTATTGATTGTCACTTTATCATATCGTTTACCAAACTGGATTGGGTCACACACTTACTAGCAGCAAAATACTAGACCACAAATTGCATTTATTTTCTGTTTCCTCAATTACTCACATTATTTTATGAGAGAGACGTATGGCAGGAACCAAAAGGTAAGCTTTCTCCTCAGTTAAATCCTTGCTGCTGTACAGATTCAGTTGATCCCACTCCCCCAGACATGTCACTATGTAGCTGAGAGACACACAGTCCTGTACACCCAGAACGCCATAGCTGATGCCACGGGCAGACGGAGTGATGATCTCCTTCACCAGCTTCTCATTCTGACGTTGATGGAGTAGATGAAAGTAATGGAGGTGTCTGTCTTTGTGATAGCTCTCCAGTGCCTTCCGAGAGGTGCTTTTAAACCAGCTGCTGAAGTCCATGATGTGGTCAGTGTTGAACTCTCCCAGTTCAGATTCCAGAGGCTTCCTCTGAGAGGGCTCAGAAAGCCCTGCCAGGTAAAGGTCAAGAAACTCTACGCAACCCTCATGGTTCTCCAACATTTCTTCCACACTCACTGCTTCTGACTCGTCTAAGTAGAAGGATGCAGCCAAGAGAAACTCTTGGATCATCTGGGTGTGGAAGGAGAAAACGCAGTCGTGCGATTCCAGGTCACCATCCACGTGCAGGAAATCTTTCAGTGATGTTGGAGTTGTTAGAAACTTTTGAACACCAGTGGAGGCAATTTCTTCTTTGGAGCAGTTTGAATGCGGGCCAAGACAGCAATGGGAAGCCATTCTACCCAGGGAGGTCACCAGGTCTCTAACATTGGCCTTGTCCAATGTCAGTGCCCGAATAAGCTGGACGGTGATGTAAACGAACACCTGGGTTAGTGTCTCAGGAAGACTCTCTCCAGCCTCCATTAGAGACTTGTAAATGGAACACGTCGTCCAGCAGAATCTAGGAGAGGCGCAGAAATCATAGAACCCCATTGTCCTTTCTATGTTCTCAAACGCTCGACTGGCTACACTTGGATCAGAGAAGAACTTGTCGCAATAGGCCTTCCTCTGGGCCTTCAGAAACCCCAACAGCTCCACGCGGTGGCCATCTAGAGACTCAAGACTGGCTGCGGTAGGCCTTGAGGTCAGCAGTATGGCTGCCCCCTTCAGCAGAGGTCCATGCACCAGGCTGGCCACTAGCACAGCGACTGAGGCTGGCTGGTGAGGGTCAGAGCAGAGGGTCAGGGATGTGGGGGGGTGCAGGCTGTGCTGGTACTGATGCAGACCATCAAACACAAACAGCAGAGACTTTGGCTTCTGCAAGACTAGAGCCAGGGACTCAGGGGAGAGGTGACTGTAGCGCTGAAGCAGCAATGCCTGCAGAGACAGCGCCCCCTTATGGGTATTCAGATCCCTGAACGTGAAATGGAAGACACAGGAAAAGTGTTGGAGATGTTTGCCCGTGGCCCAGTCCACTATCAGCTTCTCCAAGGCAGTGGTTCTGCCAACTCCTGCTGGACCAACCACTATAACAGGTTTGGGCTGGTGTCTGTCTTCGGGCAGTGCAGTTAGAATGGCATGTTGAAATGACTGTGGATTCTCTTGCATCTGTTTGTCTGACACATCAGGACCAGCGGTCATGAGCGTAATGTAATTATTATCATGCACAACTTTATTCGGCAACTGGCCTCCAAGAAGGGTTGATGTGTCCTCTGACTTCTGCTTTCTATGGGCCAGCAGTGCTTCCTTGTGTATTGTGTGGATAGCTGTCGAGAGAACAACAGCAGTTTGAAAAAGGGAACGTTGAGACGCAAGCACATGCATCAACGCAAAGTTGGCACACACATATTGGAGCAAAGAGTACACAGACGCAAATGCATGCAAAATCAAACAAGCAAAGTCATTTGTCACTATATGGTCAACCATATTGTGCGTTAAAGTTTTCTAGGCGGTTGCACTTGCTTTTAATGTCTGGGTTGCACAAAGTAGCCAACATTTACATGAAAATCAAATTGTTAAGGGGCGCGTTTACTTACTTTGAAAACAATCCTTCGATGTGGCCATAATGTATCTATAATTCCCGCTGGTGTCCTGTGTTTTCGTTCGTTCAGAGCAAGAGACAATAAAATGCGTGGTAGAGGCTTAAAACAGTATGTTTTTGCAAATTAATGAAAACGAATTACAGCCGATGTTTTATCTGTGCAACTGTACAATATGTTCCGGGTGGCAGCTAGTATAGAGGATGAAAAAGAAGGAAGTGATATGTGCAATATCCTTTATGGGCAAGATTCAACCGCTCCTTTTTGGGAACGAGTTATTCTAATGAACATGCGGAAACACCAAACGGCAGCAGGGTCTACTAGTTTCATCCTTCAAAACTGTCATTGGTTTCAGCCAGCCAATACTATAGAACAGGGGTATTCAACCTGGGGTCCGATGACCCCTAGAGGCAGTGGCGATTTTAGCATGTACATTTTGGTGGGACATAAAGAAAAGATGTGGGATGCATGCCAGCAAAGCCACTACATAACACTAAACAATACATTAATTGCACTATAACGGTGACAAACGGTGCCCAGAAACTGTTAGGCCATACATAAAGCTGTCCCAACAGCAGTCCCAACCAGTGGCGGTTCTAGACACATTTTACTAGGGGGGCCAAGGAGGGGCCAGTGTTTAATCAGGGGGGCACACATAAAAAAACTGGCAACACATGATATTCAAAGATTATAAACTTTATTTTACTTTAAAATCATATGACATTTATTATAACACGTATTTTGTACAAGAGTGCAGATGCAAGAGAGATAGTGCCATAAAAATTAAAAAAAAAAAAAAAAAAAAAAAAAAAAAAGTACAGGGTACAAATACAGGGTTCATATTCAATGTGAACAAAACTCCAGGATACAACAAAGGGTACAACAATGTGCCATTTCCTATTTATGGAAGCCCCACTACTGTGGACAGTTGATTCCACATTTTGTTTTAAGAAAGAAAACTTTCTGAGTGATTTATAAACAAAACACACTACCCTGTATCCATTTAGGTAAAATAAACCAAATCAGAAAAGAAATTCAATTCAAAGAGGCTTTACTAGCATGACCATATTGACATACAGTATTGCTAAAGCATATAAACAGGGAAACGTGTTACACATTAACATCCAGTAGTCCAATAGGATGCAGACAATAAACATTAAGTTAACATTCGTTTAAAAGCAACAATCATGTCAACACAATGTAGCAATATGAACAACACTGATGGATATCAGCAACAACATGAAAACAAGAATATTACAGGTGTCTGTGTGTGTGTGTGTGTGTGTGTCTGTGTCTTTGTGTACTTCACTGTCAGTTGATGAGCAGGTGTACAAAAAAAGGCTTTACAACATATATGGGCAAGTCCATTTAGGACAGCACATTTCCACCATAGTTCACATTAGGAAAAAATGACAGCATGAATGCTCACTAAACAAACATATACTACATATACCTTTTTATACACATTTTTTTTCAGTAATTTTTTAAGAGTGAAAGGGAAGTAAGCAATCGCTCATCATAGGATCATACATATTTCAGTTACAATATTAGTTACAATATTAGTGTTAGTTAGATCATCATGTCAAAGCTGGACCTGCAAAGTCTGAACGACACAAGTGTGCAATGATTGGAGTGATTTTGTTTCTTTTTTTTCTTGCTTTGCTTGTTTTCAAAAGGAAAAATCATAGTTGGTAAAAAATAAAATAAACTTTCGTTGAAAGGTATCACACTGTATAATTTACAAATATCTAAAGAGGTTTAGTGGATGCCATAAAACATCTGTGGAGCTTGAAGATTTGTAGTACATAGATGTTTGGCAGAGATAATTCAAAAGAATAAAATCATAAACTCTATCTATCTATCGAGAGAGAGAGAGAGAGAGAGAGAGAGAGAGAGAGAGAGAGAGAGAGAAGTGTTTCCTTAGAGCAGTACATGCAGCAATCACTTAATGGAGTGATGTCATAATGGGCCACAAAACTTTGGGGATGTGGATGGAAAGTTACAGGCAGGAGAGGGGAACCAACAGAAGCAGGTCTTGAGACATGAGTTTGCCCCTTTTTGAAAACCTCTTGAGAGAGGATTGGTGGGATATATATACATACATACAAACATACATACACTCTAGTAGTGTGTGGAACTACTGGTACTGTGAGGAAAAAAAGATAGATGATGTAAAATGAAAAATAAAACAAGCTTCAGCTTCTTAAGACACGGTGGGTTCATCTAAGTAGACACATGTAACTTCATGTGGACACCAGACTGTCTTTGTCTACACATCTAACTTCATATGGACCCCAGACCGTCTCTGTTTACACATGTAACTTCATATGGACACCAGACTCTTTGTCTACACATGTAACTTCATATGGGCACCAGACTGTCTCTGTCTACACATGTAACTTCATATGGACACCAGACTGTCTTTGTTTACACATTTAACTTCATATGGGCACCAGACTGTCTCTGTCTACACATGTAACTTCATATGGACACCAGACTCTTTGTCTACACATCTAACTTCATATGGACACCAGACTGTCTCTGTCTACACATCTAACTTCATATGGACACCAGACTCTTTGTCTACACACGTAACTTCATGTGGACACCAGACTAACTCCATTCATTTTACCGGTGGTATTGAGAACAGATAAACCCACCGTGTCTTAAGAAGCTCAAGCTTGTTGTTTTATTGTTCATTATATCTCTTTTTCCTCACAGCGGCACTCATACGCTACTAGCGTATATATCATATAGATACACTACAGCAACAGGATACGGCGGTTGTGCTGTCTGGCAAAACGGTCCACAAATACATCAAGATCCAGAGCCTTGGCCCTTCTGGACTCTATGCTCAGGACACCAAGATCACTGAGTCTCTCATCACTAGTGGTGGACCGCAGGAAGGTTTTTATCAGTTTCAGTGTGGAGAAACTGCGTTCGCAAGAGGCTGAGCTTACAGGAAGGGTTACAGCAATCTTGCACAGTCTAAAGAGCTCAAAGAAAACTTCCCTGTATGGCTCAATAAAACAAACCAGCTCAACTGTACTGCATGGCTTTTTGACTTCACCACTCTGTATTTTTCTGTCCAAAACTCTCTTAAATTGATGGAGCTCATGCCCTAAATCATCAATGTCTGCATTATACAAACGGCCAAATGAAAAAACATTGCTCTCCTTTAAAAAGGTATCACTCTGGGGACTGAGAGACTGTATGCTTCTCATGAGCTCACAGTTTGTATTGGAGAAACGTCTGTTCAACTCATTGAGCATGCTGTCAATTACAGGATAGAAAAATGATGTGAGAAACATATCTTTGTCACGTTCTACCTCCCTCTGACCAACAGTGCTTAGCGTGCAGTAGCCACTGAGTCTAGAGCTCAGCATTTTCTGACGTTTCGCCACTGACCTTGTTGCAGAATCACACTGCTCACAAATATTCAATGCTTCATCCCACAACTCATCAAAGAAAGACTCCTGCCTGTGGTCTTTCAATGTCAGGACTAAAGCATTTACTAAGTCAACAGCACTTGACAGATCAACAGTTTGTGACTGTAACATGTCAGACAATAGCTTTGTCTCCCCAAACAACTTACGCAGAGTAACAAGATGCACAACAAATTCTAGGTCAATTTGAGCAAGAAGACCTCGGGCCTCAACAGTTCTTTCACCATGACGTTCTTGAGCAATCTCTTGCAGTAGTCGTTTAAGGGCAGGTAGAGTGTCCATGATATTACGTAGGGCTAGAAATCGGCATGACCAACGTGTGTCGCTTAAACGTTGCAGCTCTCTGGTTCTGCCATACATTTCTCTTTGGAGAGACAGCCATTTTGGGTGCACATATGAGGAAGAAGTAAACATATAAAGACTCTGTAACAAAGAAAAAAACTCCTCCGTTTCTGGGACACTTTTGACTACATCAACTAACACTAAATTCAGACAATGAGCACTACAATGGACGTAGAAGGCAAATTTAGCCTGTTCTTTGATCCTTGCCTGAACCCCTGAATGCTTACCGCTCATAACGGCAGCGCCATCGTACGCTTGGCCTACGAGGTTATTTTTGTAGTCCAGGCCATAACGTTCCAGTAAGTGTACTATTTTTCCAGTAAGCCCTGCTGCATCTAACCTCTCTGCAGATTCAAAATGGAGAAAACTCTCCTTAATGGCCCCATTGTAATAGTACCTGAGTGTGAAGGACATCTGTTCTTTTTTTGAAATATCCTTTGTTTCATCTGCCATGACGCTAAAAACCTCACTTTTCTTCACTTCTTCTATGATTTCAGACCGAACCATTTCTGCCAAACAACCCAAAACCTCATTCTGGATGATCTTGCTTGTGTACTTTGCATTGTGAATGGAAGTTAATCTTCTCTTAACAAGTTGGTCGTGGTTAGCAACTGTGTTAAGAATTTCCCTAAAGTTTCCTTTGTTAGTGGACCCTTCAGATTCATCATGTCCTCTTTGTGCTATGTTTTGTGTAGCTGTAAGCAACAGCACTTCCCCAACTGTTTTAATGTATGCCTGATTTTCTTGTACTTGTTTAGTGTGTTCTTTGTCAAGGAGATCTGTTAGTGTTGCGTCAGTTCTAACAGCTCTTTGA